CATTTTTAGCATTGTCATAATATGACAGCAATTAAATTATTTCCATTATAAATAGACGACAAATTACAAATTTCTTTTTTGAAGAAGAAATATAGAAGCTAATTAAGTGTATTTAAAAGTTGTGATTGTAACGTTATGATTTCCAACGATAAGAGGTAGGGTAGAGTTTACTATATTTTAAACCTAAATTTTCATACTATAAATTATAGTCTTGCAATAGTTTGTAAATTTAAAATTTTTACAACAAATACGTAATTAAAAATAATATTTATATTTGTATTTGAACTTTATTTTTATTGCGCTTTCTGTTCAATTAGTGGTTTTAATATTTTAAATACCTTTTGCTATACTTATCTATACCTACTGAACTTATCTATTACCAACTTATACTTAATACAGTCAAATCAGGCCGTCCAAGCCCAAATTAATGGGCCCAAACCTTTGGATTTTGGGTGCATTTAGCCGATGGCATCCAATAATTTGCATAGTCCTCAACTGGAATATCATACAAACTACTTGCTACTTAACTTTAGCAATCTGAGCACCGATATGCTCAGCGAAGAGTAGCTTTAATAATGTATAATATACGGTAGAATAATTTGAAAATCTTTTGGATTTATATTTATATTTAAGTTTTGTTCATTGAACCATTAATTTTTATCCTGAAATAAGATCCTGTTTCAAATGTTAAATAATTCTTTTATTTCTATTGTATTGTGTAATATTTAAGAAGAAAATCAGTAAGCATTTATGAGTCTGACATTTTCTTCTCGAACAATTAATGGTCTCTCATTGATGCTATAAATAGCTTCTCTGAGTGCAGTTGTCGGAATAATTACTGAATCGTGTTGAGGGTGATTTTTTTTTTATTTCTGAATTGAAATAGATCCTTTTCGACTTTTTTGTATTGGAATTTACTTAGAACTTTTAAAATATTCTAACTTTATTTTATAACAGTCTGCAATAATTGGATTTTCATAGTTATAAAAAAAGTCAGTAGTACAGATCTTAAGCTTGCAGATTTTTACATCTTAACTGTGCAGAATTTATTGGAAAATCCATATTATGAGTAGTTATCAAAATCACTCATTAAAATCTATTTTTCATAAATTGCAATGAAATATACTGTTTTTAGGGCTGCCCATTTTTGGGTATATGGTTTTGGTTTTTGAGTCACCTTTGACTCCTTTCTCTGTGTTGTGTACAAGTGATATACTTTTGGCAAGTCCTCTCCTCTTTAATAATACTAATACTACTAAAAAGTCCATTCAGATAATATCTCAACCCCTCCCCCTCCCCTCACCATTTATGGCAATGTACTCTTTACGAGCCCCTCTCAAACTGTACACATTATTTATTTGATGGGCAGGCACCAGGCTATTAGCAATCCCCGAGGAGTCCATCCCTTTAATTGGATATCAATAAATTATTAGAGGTCATTCAGGGTTAGTTAAAAAATTTATTTTTATTATATTTATATTTAATTGAAGTAGAACACACAAATTTAAACATTTTTTTAGAATTAATATTTTTATGTTTGACTTTTCAAATCATCCCCTATTTGTAATTTATTTGTATTAGCACAGAAAGGGGTTGGCGAATTAAATCTAATTTTGGAAAGGAGTCGACGGGTGAAAAGGATGGGAGTCGGTAGCTCCCGACGTAAATAAATCAAATGTTTGGAAAACTTTACAAAAACAAAAAAAACGAATTTCCCATTGTTAAATTTGAGACATTACAGTCATAAGGAAAAGCTCGATTTCATTTCCACGTAGTGTTGGCACAATGTTTTCTCATTCATTGTGAAGTACCGTGCCAACACCGAATGATGAAACACCTTGCCAACACTGTACGGAATTGAAACAAAGCTCCGTTTCCTATGTCTGCATTTAAGACAAGTTTTGTGAAACTGTCTTACTTGAGATAAACCATTGTGAATTGTTGTTTTTCTTGATGATGATAATGTATTTGAATAATATACATATATAAAACCAGATCCAAATTACTATAATAATTTTAACTGTTGACTGTTGACTGGATACTTGGTTAATTAATTAACTCATGTTTAGCCCAATAGTTAATCAGGTTCTATCATGTGTTTATTTGAAGAATCAAAACTTCAGCTTGCTTAAAATATATTTTGTTGCAACATCCAGAAGTTGTGCAAAAGAATCCAGTAATTGTGTTTTGTACTTAAATTCACGTAATATAATTGAAAAAGATTTGGAGAACCTGAAGATGACCTTCGAAAAAGGTTGAAAACATTCGTTCTTTCAAATAACTGGGTTTATTCTTTACTGGATTTTTGTAGTTTTGATACTAAATACAGCACACACAGTTTTTTAGGAGTTTTGTAAAATGAAGTAAAGCAGGTTTTAGAAAAAATGATTTTAAAATAATTACAATTGTGCATATTAAAAGAACAGAGGAAAAAACTGATGCTAGAATTTGCAATGGGAGTTAGGTTTATTTAAGATTAACTGTTTTCTGTGACTGAACTGTTCCATCTTCAAGTCTACACATTTGGAGAAGCATTCAACAAGTAACAAGTGCGTAGAACATGTATGTTATGTCTAGGAAGTCCATAAACTCTTATCATAAGTCTTTATAATTTTCTTTGTAATGTTTGTAAATCCCTATAAATCTTTGTGTGTAGAGGAGAGTGTCATGAATGTGATCTTGTTTGCATTTGCATGGACCCCACATCTCACTGTTAGAATTGAAATGGTGGATGAGTTCTTACTTCTGTCGGAGAGAGTTGGTCACGAGTATGTGGATACACAAATGTCCTTATACAAGTATGTTTAATATGTGGCAATTTTGTGTCTGATATGACAGAGCATGTACAGACCTTTTGGACAACTAACCTGGCGAGTTCATTATTAAATTAAAAAGTTTATATGGCTTATAAGGACTTTGAGGACATAGTGTAGATGAGATGGGATAGTTTGGTTCCAAAAAATGTTTAATGTTAAATAAAGCAGATTGATGCTAGAACACATGAAGGAGTCCAGATTCTCCTTCGTGTGTTCTAGCATCATTTTTCTTCTGATTTTTCAAAGATCTGATTAATTATTATTAACATTTCAGCATGATCTTTAAATCAGGATTAACCCTTATAATTTTTAATAGATGAATATGTCTAGATGAACACTTGCACATACACTTTATACTACAGAGCAAACCAAAAGTATCCATACACAGGTTATAAAAGGCTCACTTTATTATAATCAAAACCAACATATTTTAAATAATTTGTATGATTTAACTAAATGTGTATATAGACGAGTTCTTCCCACTTGCATTGAACTTGTGTTAAAACATCTGGTATTGAATTGTGCGCACACATGTATCGTAAATATGTCAAGTGGTTTGTTTTGTAGTTTCGTAGTGGTCTACAAATACCTCCCCCACAAATAAAAATAAAAGGGATGAATGTGACAACCTAGAAGATTAGTGGCTAATCTGACAACCAGAAACTTTTAATTTAATTAACATTGGAAAGTGTGAAGATTTTTGACTTGTTCTGTATATATCATCATCTATTTACTATATGTTACATATTAATGGTTAATTGTATATAATTTGTGCTAAAGATTTACAAGGGTTAAGATTTTAAATTTGTTAAATTCTATTTTTTTCTATTTTCGGTAGCTAATATTCAATTGTTTTATCAGTGTTATATATTTGGATGGTAAAGAAAAATTCCAACTTAATAATTAAATTGGTAAAATAAATATGAGATTTAGACTAGAAACTGTTTAAAACAATTTCAATTTTTTATAGAGCAGTGGTTTTCAATGAGTGTTGTGTGTACCCCTAGGGATACACCAGAAGTGCTATAAGTCTAAGTACAGGAGGCTATATAGCATAAGTTCATAACCTTTACCATTTGCAGAGTATGTTATAACGATCTATTTAGTGTAAAAATACAGTCAATTTTATATTAGTGTTTTAAGCTCTATATGCAATATTGTTCAAACTAATTAAATACCCTTATTTTTTTCTACTGTTAGGCAGGTATTGTACCACAATTTCTAAAGTGGAGATTTATGAGGACCGTTGTTGAAGCCGCCTCATAATTTTGAGCAGTATCTATATCTACTTTTAATTACTTTTATATAATACTAATTTTAAATGAAAGGGAAAGGTGTTTTGATTTATTTTTGCTTTCTTATATAATTTTAAAGTTAAATTTCAATACTTGAGTTAATTACTATTAATAGTAGACATGATTAATCAGTTGTTTGCATTTAATTACGTAAATTCACCTTAAAGACACATACAGAACCAGTCTAGTGGAAAAAAAATAACATTTATATACGCATGTATAACTTTATTTTTGTATTAAATCCCACACAAAGGTGTTTTGACTTCCGTTGCAATCAACAATAACATAAAGATGCTATTTAACTATGATATAGTGGTTAGTTATTGTAAAACTGATGTGTAATCCTTACTCTTGAAAAATAATTGGATCAGGTGACTCGGTTGTGAATGATGATTTTTGAATATAGTTGCATGTTATGTTGCCAAATTACATATTCTGTAAAGTATTTCTAAACAGTTTGCATGTTATATTCACCTTTAAATTTTTATGGGCAGGTGACTTATTAAATATTGACAGAAAGTAAGATGTATAGAGGCAGGTGAAAGTCTCTGATGTTGGGCACTTCCTCTCATTAACCGTACTTAAATATATCGAAGGTCGCCAAATCGTGCTGGCAAACCATCAGAAGTGTGACTCATATTGTGATTTTAGTGTCAATAAGACACTAACAGCTAACTGTTTATAATTTGGTGCAAAGCCAGAATTGAAATCAAGTTTCTACGTGAAAAAAACTACAGATTTTAATAAATGCACGAAGGAATACTACGAACTTTCTCGTGCATTTATTAATGTTTGAGGAAAACTGACACGTCTCCGACTGTCTATAATATAGATTTTTATTAGTGTTTTTTTTTATAATCACTTAAAAAGCTGTTTCTTTTTATTAAAGACGCTTCAACGAGCTTCTCAGTTAACTGATCAGAACTACTCACGACTGAAAGTTGAAACGGATCGGCTGGAAAAGCATTCCAAGCGTTGTTGTAACTGGTGGGTGTGGCTGGTTCTGGGCGTCGTGTGCATTACGTTCCTCTGGATGATCGTATTCATGAGACTTTTCCCCAAACGATGACTTTGACGTCGGGTTTAAATGTAAAGTAATGTATAAAGGCTTTTTTGATAGTTTATATTTATTAATAAATATAATTGTTTAATAATTAATGGGCCAAACTGGTTAAACTTCATTTTAATAGTAAATAATTTATTTGTAAATTTCATTACAAAAGTGTATTGTTCTTAAAACAAGAAACAAATTTTGTTTGTTTGTTTATTATTTATTTTTTTCACAGGCAGATAAAAATACACAACCTAAGCATGATGTAGTGCCAACAACAATGAATGGCAAACAGTTTTGTAACGAGACTCTCTTCCATTAAAATTATGACAATCTCTATGGGCGGGTCGCACCCGAGTACACGAAGCTGGTTGACTAGCACAGGCTCCATATGAAAGACACGTTACCGAACAATGGGCCATCGATAACCGGTGTTTGTATCAACATTTTTTTTTTTTTACAATGCCATTCCCACCCGCGAGGTTTGGCACTTTGGCAGCACGTTATGGCAACATAAAATATGGCACTATGCAGAGGGGGTGCGAAAGCTGTGCTTTTTTTTAATTGTCTTTTTACATTAAATATGATAATTAAAGAAATTAAAAACTTTTAAAATGAACTAGGTTCACAAAATTATAAATATTTTAAAATTTTACATTGCTAGTATTCACACGATGCACGAAGACGGCCGGTCGGTATTTACACAAAAATAACAGATCGGTAAATAAAAAGTCTAAATACGAAGCAAGTTGTCGGCCTTCACAGTCAACCAGCTGTATTTTAAAATCTGCTATAAAGTCGTCTGCATTGTCAACGGCAGTTCAACAGTGACAACATTTTTTTTCTGGCAGTTTTGACTGTACATTGGAAGATTACATATTACTGACCAGAAAGGGTCAAAAATACTACACAAACATAAAAAGAGTTTGATGGGATTTTAATTAATTGGTGAGGGAGATATCACCATAACTTTTCATATTACTACCATCACAAACAGCAACCATCAACACAATGATCAATTTTTTTTTAATCTTCTATATTCCAACAGGCAATAAATCTGCAATGTCAGAACAGTAACCAGCCACGTAGTGACTCACATGCACGGAACAAATCGAGAACTATATATTTTGGTGCAGGATGTAATTTTCAACAATATAGGAAGAAATTTGTAAAAGGAAGCTTTTTAAGTACTTCAACAAAGCAGCTCGTTTCTCTGCCAGAGAAACAACTAACTATAATAATAGATAACTCATGGTGCAAAGCTTGGACACTATTGTTCTTTTTTTTTTGTCTCTCCACACAGGGAATGTAACTAATGAAAATAGAAATTTTCAAATAGTGCTAGCTCTATCATGCCTTTTATATAAACGAGGCCATGTTTGGTGTCTAACATCTATTTCATAGAAAACATTTTGCCCAATAAATATCCAAACTGTCAGAACTTACGTCATCATAATAGAACTTTGGTATAAAATCTCTATATTTCTCACTATACCCAATATCACTAATATTAGGATCTGTTTCTTCTGGTAGTTGGGGAGACCACTCATGATTTGATTGAAATAAAGGTGCCCTACAAGAATACACCATCTTTTCAGTCTGCACGTTCTATCACAGTAGCTTTTGGGTGAAGACGGATTTTTTTTAAACAGAGACTGATCTAACATTGTTGACCTTACGGTTTTTCTCGGCTGTTGTGTGCGAACTGTATGTAGGACAGTCCTAAAAACCTTTTCTGTGTAACAGAAGGCGTAATGTTTTCGGAGTGAGCAGTACCGTTTATGGTACAGACGTACACGATTTTATGTTACATTTACCAAATAACTCAAGTCTGATAACCTTGTTTAAAGTGCACAGTGCACGTTTTAGAAAAAAAGGCCAAAGGGGGTGGTCATTGTGAACTGTGAGCTGTGAGCTATGACTACATAAAGGGTACAGGAAGACCATCCTTATACCGATGACGAGATTCACTACGTTGCCCAGCTGTCTGCAGTCAGACGGACCCTCTTGGTGATGGGTCCGTCGTATTCTGGCACGACACTGGGATCCGGAGACGACGAAGTGGAAGGAATAAGCGGATGCCCGGGCGAGAGGTGACCCGTCACGGAGGGTGGTCGCTGGAGCGCAGAACCGTCTCTCGACGGCGAAATGGGTTCACTTTTAATTTTAACAGAAAGCGGCGACGACGGAGGAGGAGTATTAACCGACATATGAGGCAAAACACCAGAAGTAAGTGTTGCACTGGGGCTAAAATCATAATAATAATAAATTATAATAACCAATATAAAAATAAATATTTGTTACCCACTGATTTATGGCAATCTTACCTGCCTTGACTCATGCCTGTAGGTACACTCGATAAAGGATTTTGTGTCGACCAACCGTGTAACAAATTTGGAGAGTTAAATCCTAAACTTAAGTCAGTATTTAACTGGAAATCATCTACAAAATATACAAAAGTAAACAAATGAAATATTTCTGTGAAGAAAAAGATTTGTTATAATAATAACTACTCACTTGTAAAACTAGATGTGAGTGTGGACGGATAACTTGTCACACTAGGAAGAGGGGTGGTCACGGAAACCACTGGAGTACCAAGGGAAATGTTGGAATTTCGAGATATCTGCATAGCAAATAAACATAAATAAGAATTCCAAAAATTTATTATTCATCAGATAAAGATTTTTCTTACAAGGCCAGCAGTTGCCTGATGAGAATTCGGGATGACCACTCGAAGATTCGGTCTTGTCCCATTGCCCGTCGGTGAAGAATTTTGTTTATCGTGTTTGTTCCCAAGTTCCGGAGAACTCGGTGAAACAGGTCTATGGTAACCATTTGCAGTCGTCCCATTGATGTCGAGTAACGTTCCTTTTAAAAGAAGGTTTAAAAATTGGATCATGTGACAAATTTCACTTTACAAAGTGAAATCGTATTTTCAAATATCAATAAAATTACCCGAAGAGCTAGGACGAGGACTAACGCTAGTGTGCGAGGGCATTTGAGGCGACGAGTGTAATAGCCCATGATCTGGAGAATTATAAGTGGTACTATTCACAGATGCATTAATTGATAACGGTGATAATCCTTGACTAATCACCGGAGGTGGGACCTAAAAATAAAATTATATATTAAAATTTTGGCAATTTATATAAATTCAGAATTTAAAAAACCTACTTACTCTGTTACCATTTAGTTGAATATTTCTTTGCATTAAAAGTTCAAATTCTTCATTAATTTTGTTATATTTTGCTTCTGTACGAGGAGTGAGGACATACTGGTCTTGTTCCGGCTCAGGACTTTCACAACCGTTGGATGAATTTTTATGTTCCTTTTTGCTAAGTGCCTACAAAATTAGAATTTAAAATTTTAAATTCTAGTCTCGAGCGATTCCCACAAGTAGTCGTCGCAGTTGACTAACCTCGACAATGTCACTATTTGTTCTACTTTCGTGGGGTTCATTATATTCTGTGTATTTCAATAAAACCTTGTCCATGTCTGTACTTGCATATTGAAATAACTTGTTAGTACTGTTGAAGATAATGAGAGCAATTTCGCAGTCACACAACACACTGAGTTCGTATGCCTTCTTCATCAATCCAAATTTCCGCTTTGTAAAAGTCACCTAATTTAAGTTTGAAAATTTAAAGCAGTTAAAATAGTAATTTATTCTTTTAAGTTGAGTTTCTAAAAAAGTTTTTAAAACATCCATATTTTTTGATATAGAGATAAGGTAAATCGATACCCCCGACTCCGACGTTATCTCGTTACAACACCAAAACGAAAATATTACATTTACGCAATCTAGCAATACGGACATTATACCAAAGCCCACGACAATTGCCCAAACTCGTACCTACCTGTCGATTTCGCTCGTCGGTGATTCGGGATATTTGGATCTTTTTCCTACCCATGCTGGATGGTGGTAGACAACAAGGCACAGAACTCTGTTTTTGTAGACTCACAATATGAAGGGACTGTTGATAGTTGACGTTAAAAGGAACAGAAGCTGTTTTCAAAGTTAACGCCAGCTTGTGGTCATGTGAACGAGTGTGGCTCTGCTGGCCCTAGAAGGAAGGATTCGGATCTGAAATTGTAGATCTACGTCAAAACTCTTAACCTCTAGTTCGGCATTACGTAATTAAAATCAATCATTTAAAATAAGTATCGATTTCTTTCCCTCCAGACCCCACCCAGAAATGATTAGATTTACATATGTATTTTTTTCTCTCCCTCTTTAACGAATGACATTCCAAGAGAGGAGAAATGAATCCACCTTCCGACAATTTCTACCAGAGGTGAAATCAAACTTTATTCATTTCACTTAGGGGTAGCAACAAACTGGCTTAGCAGCACACCAGCATCCCCACTTAAAAAAAAAACTAAATATTTTTATCCTCCCAGATTGAAAAAAAGCAAATTATCTATCTAGGTTATTCACATTATTAGTGATTCATAATTAATTACAGTTATATATATATATAAAAGATAGCTATCACAAGAAATTATCACCAGATAGGCCAATCCAAGAGATAAATCTCACCATTCAAATAAACAGATGGAAATTTTTATTGAGGGAGGGTGGAGAAAGGAAAGGGGAAACCCCCTATCTAAGATAACAGGCTTTCCTCAGAGCTGGATGGAGACTAACAGGAAACACGGGATCTGATATCCTCCATATGTTTAATCCCAACACGTTCGCTCAGAGCGGAGCAAAACTCGCAACGCATAACCCCCCCCCGCACGAGTCTCGCTCGACCGGGAAGTAAGGCGAACGAGAAAACCGAGGCGCAAGGTCAAGGAACCGAAGTCGGGTTAACAAACTCGAGCCTTACTAGGTCAGTGTATTACCTAGTATTCGAGTGGCCTCCGGCCTTTCTCTCGACTCCACACTTTCTCGTCGTAGAGAGAGAGAGAGAACGGCGGCCTCCCTCTCTCTCTGTAGCACGTGTCGCTATCTGGTTATCGAGGTTCAAAGACACGCGCAATCTGTCCCGAAAACTGGGAAAAAAACGAACCGGGTTAGGACGTTCAACTCCCATGGTCGCCCCCTTATTGCTAATGCGCCGTCCGGGAAGAGAGCGACGCATAGGCTGATGCCATACGCGAGGTATTGTGATGACCCGCTGAAAATAGCTCGGAATAAAGAAACACCAAAAATAGCAGCCTACCTCAATTCGCCGCAGGAACGATATGACTTAAGTCTAAACATCTCTTTGGTACACCGGGCATGTACACATGCGCCATGAGCGTCTCTGACGTCGGGCATCCGATGACCAATCGTGTACAGTCACTTAAGCCAGCTCTCGTCGGACGCTGAAAAGGGCAATGTCGCGCGAGGGAGCTCGATCGGCCATTCTATCTACTACCGAACCCGTCCACCTCGACCCGTAATTGTTGCGTAACGCTCGGTAAGCGGGCCTCCGACGTCGCCCCCTCCCGACCCTTCGGAATTCGGTGGCCGAGCGAAATTACGAGAGCCGGAACGAAAAAAAAAAGACGGAACGGTGCACCCCGACGGGGGAGATCTCCCCCCAGAACGACGTCGGGCACCGCCAAGGTCAAGACGGGTAAATAACAGGGAGGGTGACGAGATAAAACCTCTGACAAATAAGTTTGCAACGGGAAGTGAGATTTCCGGGTGTTTACTCGTATCCTTCGATCCTCGTGCCATACATCAATCCGGCGATGGCCATCCCGCTCTCGAGACGAGCCACACGCGGACGTCCCCCCCCCCCGACGCGTGGTGGATAATTTCTGCAAAAATAAAATTTCGGTCATTAACTGGAGAAAAGTATTGAATCTCCAACGTAAACAAGCAAAACGTAAACGCGGGGAGGGGAGGAAAAGTTTCGGCCCTCTGGGAAAATGGCGGTGCGTAGTTGAGAAAAAGATTGCGTAAATCGAAGGGGGCGTCGGAACGTTTTAATGGGTTCGATAATTTGCGTAACGAACTAAACAAAGGCAGAGGCAACGCGCGTCGATCCGACAATACGCGCGCCATATGGTGCGGCAGCGCCTGCGACGCGGTGTTCTTCGGCGAACTCGTGTTTCGAAGGATGAGGTTCAGTTTCCTTATTTGGAAGCAAGACAGAGTTCTATCACCATCTTCTGGCAGCTCGCCTAACATCTGTTGCTCTGGAGTGATGGAGGGGGACGAGAGAAGCTGGAGAAAGAGCAGCCAAGGGGGGAGAGCTCGTCCCTCCTTTCGGGTATCGTGTGTCCCTCCATCGGCAGCCGAGAACCGGAGGAAGTGACGAAGGTCACGTGTCTGGCATCACGCCAACTCGGCTCCTATTTCAGCGCGGCGAACAAAGCCGCACACAGCACGTGCGATCTTTAGACCTCGCCACACCGGGACCGGGACGACACGTCCCGACGACAAAAGCAGCAACGGGCGCGTAAGACGCTCGGAAGTGCGTCGCCACGCGTTGCGGGCGAACGGCTGACATCCGCCAAGACAGAAAAACAAAATCTCTCTCGTGTTTTGCCGTAAGAACGTTCGTTTTCGGAAGGTCGCGTCGGAGAGGCGCTTGGACGACTTCCAAACGATGCGGAAACAGGATCCGGCCGCACGCAACCCGGCACACTCCGTCCTGGCAGCATCCCAACTACAACATTGCGCCATTACCGACGGCCGTCCCCTCCGAAGAATGCGCGTCGCGAGCGCCTGCCACGCGCGGAGCGCGCCGGATCGGCCACCGCCGCGCATCGCGGGAGAGCCCGCGGGATCCCCGGACGTCGGGGGCTCTACTAAAATAGCCGGGAGCCGATCGAACGTGGAAAGCCCTCCCGTCGTTTCTCGAATTAGCCCGTTCTAAAGAGAAACCTTCCAAAATTATCAGCTAATCTAAACACGGGGTGCGCTCCAACTGCCGCCACATCCAGCAAAGTGGCGACGATGGCATATCGCTTTATGACACGGACAGAGACGGAGTACGACGGCAGGAGGCCGATCTCGTAGGGGGCCACCCCGCCCACCCCCACACTGGATACTCTCGAGGGGTCCCGTCCCGGCTCTAAGCAGGTAACGTGGAGCGCTTCTAACACCGATCGCGAGCGAAGGGGGAAGCGCGGTCGCGCCGGCGTGCGCGCGCGTGTACACGGGTGGTACAGGTACGTCGAAGTCCTTGACATTTACCGGCGGGATGGGCGATTTTAATAAGACGGATGGGCCGAAGCAGCGGAGCGAGTTAAAAAACCCGAAGATGCATCTCTCGCCGGCGCAGATCTCGAGAGCAGACACACAAAAGTCCCCCCGAGCGTGACGAACGGCAACTAGACCCTGTTGCTATTTTTGGACGGGCGGCCTGGCTCACATCCGCCTAATTTCCGAGTAAAAATCTCAGTAAACGGATAACGAAACGTTTCCTTCGGATTATCTAATCGGCCCCTTAACTAATTTAACTCGTAAAGGATTAGGGGGACGGGAAGACGACCAGAAAGGAAATTCACCAACTTGTTTTCTTTTTTTCCGACTAAAAAACAGAGGGGGCATACCACGCGCGCTGCCAATTACTTCATCCCCACGCACGTAGGCAGCGGCTAATGGCTTTTCTATTCGCCTAACGACCTTCCGCTTCGGCTTTTAAGCTCGAGAAAACCGGAAAAATGTCGAGCGGCAGTTTAAAATTTTCCGATCGAACTGGTTCGTTCGTCTCGACTTCCTCTTCTGGTGATAACTTATATGCCGAACGGGGAGGCACGCGCTACAGGAGTCGCACGCGCGCCTGCCTGCCTTCCTTCTCTCTTTTCTCAGAAATACTACGCACCGCGCGAAAAACAATGAGAGGAACCGAGCCAAGAACTTCACACGTGTGATTCATCAATTAGTCGTTCCAGACAAGATGATTTCTATCCGTCGAGTCGACCCCCGACCGAGTATATTGCCTGAGATCTTTCTTTGAAAAATTACCTTTGCTCGATTTGATTCTGCTGCAGAATCTGTGTAATTTTACATTAGACATCCCTTGCCGATTTTCTGCCATCTGGTGATGTCATCTTAAACTAGACAGATGTGAATGAAGTGCTATTTATACTGTGTGTTCCACCAGATGAGTGGATGAAAGTTAAGAATTTTTCTTTGTTAGACTGGAAGGCTTTACATCCTGACAAAACTTACGGTCTGGCAATTTCTTGTACTCTGTACCAATTGTATAAAAACAATTCCTTTTCTTTATTCGAGAGTTTCCTCCCGGCGTCTCGCTCTCCGCCTAATTTTGACGGCTTCGGCGTAAAATAAATTCTTCTTTCCGGAGAGGAGTCTTGACTTTTGGACGGATGTTGGGAAAGAATTTCTCAGAATCCGGAATTATAAATAAAAGCGAGAACATCAAATTGCTCGAACCTTCGCTTTTCTTCGACCTTTACTTAGATCTCCTTGCCTTCGAATCTCTCCGTTTGTACAAAGAAACTAGATCTGTGCCTGCCTGTTTTTCTTTGTTTCCAACATGCTCTCGGAATGTTTTTTCCACAGACTAATTAAACGTTCGAATCGACTAAAACTTTAATTGCTACAAGTTTATAAATGGTTTTGCAACTTCCTCTCAGTTTTGTTTACCACCTGTTGATAAGGTAAATACCTCACACTATTACATTTTAATTTAAGCTTGTTTCAACATACAATAAATGTATGGTTTCGTAGAAAAGAAAAGAAGTATATGCTCTGGTGTCTACTGTCATTAATTAGTCTTGGTGAAAATGCACTTTTGCGTATATTGTAGTAATAAAACTTATAACAATTTGGATAGTTTAATATAGTTTGTATCGACAACAGGTTAGAATTTTTCAAAAGCTATCTATCCTAGGAAACATTTCATTCAGCAGTAAAGTTATGATCTCTAGAGATGTATTACAACAACCTTCATGCAATTTTCAAATTCTCACAAGCAGTTGATCATTATTAAATGTACACATGAGCCAAGTTTAGAATATTCATAACCTTTAACAAGTCTGCAATGACTTTTGACACTAACTTTAAAAAAGATCAACAAAACTAACCTTTGAATTTCCTGTTCTCATGAACAAAACTGATTTCTAATGAATGTTTTCTATGGAGAAATCAGAAACTTTCTACTTCAATAACTAATATAAAGAGAAGTTTAAAAATTATTAATTTGAAAATTTTACAAATATTCCAATTACCATTTAATACTTCTATATTTAATTAACACTGTAAATGACAATTTTTCTCCCCGATATTGTTTCAAATATCTAAACCATTACCTTCACTTTGTTATACAAATTAAAACTGACACAAGCAGATATTTAATTTATAAATTATTCTGTCAAACAGAAATTGTAATTAAAAATTACAAATTACCGTTTTATATCTTTTTGGACTGTTATTAACGCGTGACAATCTCGGCGTGAGGAAACATTAAGCCGACACGTCAACCTCAACCAGCTTTTTTTTTTTTTTGAGTCGACGCACGTAAAAACCGAAAGATTCGCCCATTTTTATTTAGTTTTGCACGTTGACGACTCAACCTCGAGGATGATAGGAATTATTAAAAAATGTTTGAGTTTACATATTCAAGGATATCAACTTCAGTGTATGTATATATACATATACATACACTGAAGTTGTATCCTTGGAGATGCTTTATATAAATATATAAAGCATACTGCACCAAGCGTGGCTCTGTGAATATGAAGTTTACTCTGGCATACTTTTACTAATTATCATCCTACTTTATATAAATTGGATAGATAACCACTTTACCACAAAGAAAGTACAAGTCAAAATTCTGAAACTTCCCGGCAATAGCCAGTTTTTGGACACTACAAACCGTTTACGTGGTAACTTTACACCTCTGTATTAATGTATACATCAACAGTATATTAATTAGTATACAAATTAATAATTTATTCCTACACAAAAGCCAAATATGTATAGATACGCTTTTAGTTTGAATCTATATAGAAATTACTTTATTCTAAAAAGAATTCACGCCACTTGGAAATTTATAAGCTTGTTGTCCCGTTAATATTCTAGTTTAAATCCAGATAAAAGCAAGGATCTGAATAATGCAAAGCCCCTTTAGGAGGTATCTTGGAAGTTAAGGTATGTGTATACATAATAGAAAAATAACTGGACTCCGTTCCTATTTAATGTACGAAATGGAAAAATGGCAACGAGATATTTCAAGCAAGGCCAACCTATGATTAAAGTTGATGGATATATTTACACAGGTAATTCTAGAATACTAGAAAAATCATTCTAGAATATTAGAAAATGTGGAATTTGCAGGAGGAGGAAGAGAGAGAGGGAAAAAAAGAACTCGTTTGGAGGCGAATTAGCATGATTTGGAAGCGAAATGGTGAGTAAAATCGCGTAGAAAATAACTCAATTTCCTCGATTGAATCGCCTCTCCCCATTACCAACTCCGAACGTAACGCGTAAAATTGATAGATTTTGTTACAAAACATCTTACTGGCTATTGACCAAATCGCAGCAGTCCGACGAGCAATTACGCACTTCTACACAGATTGACGTCACCCACCTAGTATTATCATTTGGAGTGAATCCGTAAGCGGAGGTTTTTTAAACTACCCGAGACGATATATAACGTAGGAAACGTGTCGAATTCGCGTAACGCGGTGTTTATATCTTTCAACGTTAAGCAAAGATATAACAAACGGTACTTTTACTAACCTTCTATTTATGGTAAGTCATAGGCAACATCTACACTTCTCTCAATACTTCGACATACTGAAAATAGTTCCGGCCGACGTGGCGTAGTGCGGTGTGACGCTCCGTAAAGAAAAGTAGCGCCGTCAAACTGTGGTGACTCCGATCTATTTTAAAGTTTCGATCGAGTCCAGGGTTAAGGTTACGGCGGTGTTTGAATGGCGAAGCAACGAATTTGCAAGGTATTATTCCGGAATCAGAAATGGAGTTTAATTCGGGCGGTGACGTCATGAGAGAGGTTCGCCCGCCGGTTTGCGCGTGCCGAGAGCGCATGACGTCACGGGCGATATCAGCTGACTGGAATGGATGTTCTTTCATCCGAAAAAAAAAAGTGGATGAGGAAGATTTCCAAGAGTTTTCACCCCTTAAAAACGTAACTGGATACTAAATAAAACAATTTACGTTATTTTGTTTATCTGTAACGCTTAAGTGGATTAATGTAAGAAGTTTTAGATGTTAGAATATGTCGGGTGTATATACGCACTTATAACAAATAATGTTTATATTATTATTATTTTTAAACAAAAAAAATATATATATATATATATAACTTAAGAAGGGAAGAGAATCATATTCCGNGTAACGCTTAAGTGGATTAATGTAAGAAGTTTTAGATGTTAGAATATGTCGGGTGTATATACGCACTTATAACAAATAATGTTTATATTATTATTATTTTTAAACAAAAAAAATATATATATATATATATAACTTAAGAAGGGAAGAGAATCATATTCCGTATTCAACGTGCGTAATGTAATACACAATACATTTTGACTGGTTATTATACAGTTAATAAACTGTAGCTTATTTTTATACAAAATCTCGCTGTCGTTTCGTTACTTTGTTTATTCTTTCGTCACACCACCCTAAATAGTGTTAGTGTTACGTTGTAGAAAACTGTCGTGCCATCTCGTGTTCCGATTTGGAGTTAAACAACGAAAACAATATATAATTTCATGGTAATTCGATTTAAGAAATAAAAGAAAAATTATATTAAATTCTTAAAATATATTAATTTCGTCAAAAAATAATGCCATTTTGGAAAATATTTTAAACTTTTTTTTTCACATTACTTAAACAATTTATATTAATAATGACAGCATTGTTTATTTTGAAAGTGAAGTTTTAAATATTAAATTTCTTAAACAATAGAAACAAATAAAAGTTTAAAATTTAATTATCTAAATTTAAAAAAGTAATGTTAAAGCTAATTTAATTATTATTTATTATAATATTTTTTTTTAAGACGGAGAATATATTTTTCCGAGATTTTTTTTTTATATAAAAACTTACCTGATTTAAGCATCTTCTAGGAAAACATCATCCAGCAAAATCCACAAACACTTTGAGCTGATTAAACACAACCTCCGTTGACATGACAACCGATCTTACCTACACTTCCATCCACGTCCCGTCATACTCAGCGGCCAATGCCTCCCACGTGACTAGTGAGTTCATTAGTTATTCATTCAATGTTAAAGTTTATTTTAAGGAGTGAAAAACAGCCTAAGGGATTAATACATAGAATTGATTGCTTTTGTGACGTATGCCTGACGTCACTGTGTCATCATTATTGCATTTCCTTTCAGATTTTATAAAATTTTTTAATTAAGAATTATATATAAAGAGAGAATTTTTTAAAATTCTCGCTCCTTATTTTCTATTTAGAAAAAAAAAGAGAGAAGAAATTAATGACGTCGTTACCGATCTTTTTTAATATACTCTCGTGTATAAAAAAGACGGTAAATCAAATTATATTTGAATTTAAAAAATATTTATTTATTTATTTCTAGACCGCGTCGTGACGTAATTAATATCAAAACCGGTTTATTATGAATTTAAAAAAAACTAATATTTAATACAAACGACCGGATAAAAATTTATAAATCTCGCGCAGATTCGTAATTAATTATTATAACTTTAAATACGTCAATGGAATGACGTCAACTTCTGAAAATGACGTCAGGTGTCGTTTTTAATCCATTTCACTTTTGAAATTTTGTGTGTTTATACAGTAGACCCCCTATAACACTGTCGATAATTCCGTTTTATACGAATTCCATGTTGTACGAGTCACTTAGATTTTACAAATACGTGTGCCGGGCTGTGAACGGCTCACGTATTTGTAAAATCTAAGTGACTCGTACAACACGGAATTATCTACCGTGTTATAGGGGTCTACTGTATATAAAATTTCTCGTTTTTTATAAATTTCTATTGGAAAACTTTGCTCCCATTACATTTTGCCATCGAATTTAATCATTTTTCGTAGATGGCCCGTTACGCGGATTAAATTGCATTCGATCGAGTAGGGGAATCACGTGAAAATCATATAGTTAGTATTGAGTTTCAATCATTTATGTAACTTTAAAAATATATATATAAATAATTTAAATTATATTGGCTTAAATAGAGAATCCATCAAGAATAGAAAAAAACATTTATAACAACTCTCCGCACGTGTTTACCGAAATTACAAACGGCATTATAATTTTAATCGATGACGTAACTGAAGTTTTAGTGTTTCTAACTTTTGACGTCAGTACAAATTTTATATAAATATAAAAGATATTTAAACACGCAGAGTATAAATTTATTTCGAACAATATTTGCATATAATTAAATTTATAAGACGTGACGTCTTTATTTTATATATACATATATATATTATTTTTCGTTTTTTCTTTTTTTTACTTTATTTGAATTAACTGCACATTTTCTTATTTCTAAAACGTTTATGATTAAAATTTATCAATTTAAAACTTAAATTGTTATTTCAAGAGAAGCATTCACATATATATATATATATATATAATGAATGGAGTGAATTATTGAACTTTGTATTATCCAATGAAACACAATAAAACGACAATACAATTAATTTTTACATGGTTTGCTTTATGGAGCCACATTATTTCCGTCGTATTTTATGTATATAATAAAATTTTATACGCTGAACAATTTGCTACATTTGTAAACATGTTTTTATGCTCTCAATTTAATTAGTTTTGTTTTGGGATTTCGTTTTTCGAGTGAGATAAATACGCGGAGGAGGAGGGAAAAAAATTTCACCACCTTAAAGATTGAGTAGGCAATGGAAAAATGATAAGTTATACAGCATTTCAAATATTTATTTCACAGCTTTTTGAAATAAATATATTATTTACGCAACAATACAATTTAATTAAAAGTAACATAATATTGCCCTTGCTATATAACTATCACGTAACTCACCTTGATACGCTTCCTACCGTCTTAAGTAGTTACGTATACATCTACACGAATATAGTGAATATCAATTTTCATTATTTATTAATAAAAATATATATCTCTATAATAATTTCGCATGTGATAATTATAAAAATTCAATAAACCGATATAAAAAAAAAATCTCGATTTTATAATATACAAGTTCAAATATTGAACGTTGTGATAAAAATACGTGATTCAGATCCGTTTATTTCATAAAATTATTGATTCTACTACGCACGGTGGATCATTAATGGAGTCACCTTGAAAATACAGATTATAATGTAATTATACAAAGATTTTAGTTTATAAATTTACAACATAATATAACTAGGAATTTTTGAATTAATGTTATATTTTAGATAAAATTTTTCACGTAAATCTTTAAATTTAAACATATTTATTTATTTGCTATGAATGAATCATTAAAAATTTCTTGAAGCTATGGAATTATAGATTTGTTCGAATTTACTTCATGATTAGTGAGAAATTTAAAGAATCCTGCACATTTGTAAAAGAAACACAACTGACTTTAATAGTCATTAATTTACAAATATATTTATGTAATGAAATATATATATAATTTTCATTAACACACAGGAGATGATGAAATATAAAAATTTAATCCAACAGAATATACACTTAGGAAGTAATAAAATAAAAACATGTCTATTGTAAAAATTATCAAAAAAAAAAAGTTTTTTTTCATTTTATTTAAATATTTCATGAAAAAACATTGGAGAATAGGATAAAATGAATTTCATTATAAAACAAAATATAATGGGACGTAATTAATCATTTTAATTTAACAAAACCTTCGTAATTGTTAACATAAAGAAAAATTGCCTTTTCCGGATGAAATTTTAAAATATTCTAATGGAGAGAAAAATATATTATTTCTATAGCATAACAAGATTTGTAAAGATATATTTTATCTCTTATATGAAGCTGAATAACATTTTGATAAATCTTATTTACTATCTTATAAAACAGCTATGTTATATTTTACAATTAAGATTTTTTAACAATATTTTTAATTAAAACAGATTTTAATCTAATTTTTAAAATATTACAAAATGAACATGTGGTTTAACTGATTAAATTTTTGAAAAATAGTTATTAACATCATTAAAAAAAAGAAACAAGTTTGTTTCTGCTAACACAATGATAAACACTAAACACTCGACTATTGATTTCTAGGAATTGCCTACATATTTTTTTTTAATAATAAAGACACCTTGATTTAACAATTTAATCAATATATAATAAATTATAAGGTATCAAAATTTCATTACTTTATATTTGAAACAAAATTATATAGAGAAAAATTATAACTAATTACCAAATTATTTTATTTTTTCCTGCTTCAAAATAATTAATAAAATCTGATATTTAATAATATAGTATAGCCATTTATTTGGTTATCAGATGCTGATATTAACTAACTAAAAAAATATGGATAACTTTAATTATATAATAATTAACTAAATCTCTTCCTTGAATTGTAATATGTAAAGTAACTGATGTAAAAATAAACTTTACGACCAATGTCAAAATATTCTAAATAATCTAGATTAATCGAAATTATTTATAATGTTCACGAATCTGAAATGTAAACGTTTTAATCCTTTTGATCTTTAAAATATAATAAACAATAAAATTAAAAATATTTAATTAACATTATTGATGATCATTAACTATCAAACTTTCGATTGCATACGTGATTTAATTGGTCAGACTGAGCAATAAATAACTGCTTTTGCATATTGTGAAGTATCATAATTAATAATTTATTTTAACCTATTTTGTGACTTCTGTATTAACAAATAATGTTAAAATCACTTTATAAAAAGCGAAACTTTGAAGCAATTTAAAAATTTGTGCGTATTTTAAATACCAAACGATGATTTCTAAATAAACGCTCGGAAAATATTTAGCAAATTTAACACTACATCTTAAATTTTTAACACAATTATAATTGAAAGATATTTTCATAATTAATTTTAGATATAACAAATCAAAAATGGCAAATATATTTTATATCTTCAATCTTCTATATGCTGTAGCTATATCACAGAACAACTGCATTAAGAAAACTTTAAAAAATCATTAAAGTTGTTTAGGATTAAGTTTTGATTTAATCATTATTTTTCATTATTATTATATGGATACTTTCCCTTTGGACTGGAGGACAATCTGATGAAAGCTTAAATAAATATATAAACGTTATATGTTATTTTATCATCATCTATCCGCAGATTTCCATTGTTCGTGTATATTATAAAGATGCTTTGTAGCTCTTAAACTAATATTTAGAGCGGGATACACGGGAATTAAACCTTCAATATCCATGAGAGACATTCCACTTATTCCCATGTAAGTATGTAACGGATCTTTAATTATAAAACGATTATGTTATTATAATAAAAAGGAAAATTAGTAAAAGCATAAGTTTTAATTACCTGGAATTGTATCTGGCCATTTTGCCATTCCACCTGTTATGGGATCTTGTGTAGACAAAATGAATTTCATATTTTCTTCTTCATTAACAAAACTATACGAATCTAATATCTGTTTTGAAAATATTTTGAATATTAATTATTAAGAGAAATAGAAGTATGAATTAAGATACATGAAAAATAAATGCAGTTATTATTTAATAATGATGTGATGTAACTTGAATACAATTAAATTTTCTGTATCGAATTCGTACATGTAATTTTCTCAAACATTTGTTAAAATACAATTGCAAGTCACAAGTGCACAAGTACAGTTCTTGGTTGTTCTGAAACTGGGAAGCAAACGAAGCCTGAATTTTGCTATCAATATAGCTTTACAATCCACTGACTTGCGCACTTGTCATGACTCTCAATAGCATTGTAACAAATGTTTGAGAGAATGTGTGCATAGCACATGCTTTGGAATATATGTAATTTTGATTTAAAAACTAAACAAAGAAATTTCAATTTAAATAAAACTCATTTTAAGTTAGTAATTTATAACAGTAAAAATTTTAATTATATATGTGTTAGAATAAATATTCAAAAATTGTTATTAATTGAAAAAAATATTTTATAAATGAAAAAATTTTTCATTAAAAATATTGCAACTTTCATTAATTAAAGTATATTTTAATTTGTTATTGTTTAAATACATATATTAAGCATCAATGACCTCAGTTTAAATTTCAAACAGTAAAAGAAAATTCAATTATGTGTACTAAACCTTAAGAGTGGCACCTATCCAAAACGAATAACATGTATCAGCTGGTTTATTAGGTCGACCTTGAAAGCCTCCCTCTTGCCGAAAAATGCACCAACGCCGCAGTTTTGCTAACTGATTAGAATTTAAGGCAACAGTCAATTTTCCCATTAATGATAATGTTGCCACAGCACAGAATGTTGGCCCACCTAAAACATTGTTAAAAATAAACATAAATTTCAAAAACATATAGTTAAGCTGTTAAAGTAACAAAAAGAGATACTAAACTAAACAAAAAACTATTTTGCAGAGAGAAAGAGAGAAAAAAATAAAAACTAGTTTCACTTTAATTTTATATGCTATATCAAAACAGAAAAGAATGTATGTTCATTACATTATTATAATAAAATTGTTTCATTATTTAATAATAATATAATACATAAATTTTCATATTTTTTTTAAAAATATGAAACTATATTATTGTTTAAGAATATTTTAATAAGCTAAATGAATCTATCATATATCATTAAAACCATCTCAAACCATTCAAAATACTCTGAAGATATGTAACCATATCTTTAAGGACATTTTAACTGTTCAGTTTGAAATGTATTGTAAAGTTTTTTTTTGTATTCAAATACATTAAAAATTTTTTTTGAAGGTTTAAAAAATACAGTAAGACCCTGCTTAACACAGGGATGCATTCCTAGATGACAAAGCGCTAAACGAAACGGCGTAAACGAGGTCATTTTAACATAGAGTAAATACGGATAGGGGAACATGTTACCAAAAATAAACAAATTTTACTTAAGTTATTTTTATATTAATTTGTATAATAATATATGTTAAATAACACATAAACATACACACACAGAAATGTAAAGTTCATTTTTTGTGATGAAGGTCCTGCCTTTTGTTTTTTTGCAGTAAAGTTGTGAAGTTTCATTTCTCACTTTTTTCTTTCCTTAAGTGAATGTCAGTAGCAGAAGATCGCATCCAAAACGCTTCGTTTTGCTTTTGCACTCCTTTCAAAATCTGGATTATTCACTACAGTTTGATCAACAATTTCGGTTATGGTTACCAAACTTTTACTAAGGAAATCTGTAGAGAAACTTTTTGGGTTCTTTGTTTTCAGAATCTCTATTTTCCAGTTCTACATGAATTCCTTGTTCTGTCAGTTCTCGAAGGTCATCGTTGGCAAAGCTCTCACTAGAAACTTGCGGTAACTCCTCAATATCCTGATTGTCTACATCTCCTAGCTGTATTGATTAGGTTGAATTTGGTCAACTTAACAATACAGCAATAGGCTCTTCTCTTTGAGAATTCTTGGATACCTTCAGTCATAAGCCATTACCTCTTTCACACTTCATTCATGCATTTATCAGTTAATTCTTGCCAAGCGAAGCTGATATTGCCTATGGCATCCATGATGTTATATTTTTTCCAAAATTGCACCAAACAAACATAGATTCAAAGAAAGTACACCACTGTGCCATCTTTTTCCGATTGGTTCATGTTAGTAAATAATCTTATTATATACGAATCAATGAAATGCCACGATAATTTAAATCAGTGTAAATTTTGAGCTTTTTTTAGGCTTCAGCAGACCGTGTTATATCGAATCAGCATTAAGCGGGGTCTTACTGTATTGAACATTAATAATTCAAATCAAATGCAGTAAGGAACAGAACAAAGAATCTTTAGTCTTCAAGCAAATAATCTCCAGCAGTATCTTAGAACAGTTGAAAAACTTGGGCAAGCAAATGTTAACTATATTTCTTTCTTGAATGTTGTTGAATATCTACAAACAGAGCAAACATAAAATTTCCATACTTATAATCCATAAGTTCTCATAGACTGGTCTGTCAACATCTATCATCATTAATCACTAGTCATAAAAATACAGAGCAAATTTAAGACTTTAGGGTGGTTTACCCAGAAATATGAAAAGATAATAAACATGTTCTTACTCCAAGATCTTCAACTGTCAAAATTTAAATTTTTACCATTCCATTTGTATGAAATTTTCTTAAATATATATTTTCAATGCTTTTTATTCAAAGCTCAGAAAAAATGATGTAAGTTCATAAAACTATTATTATAAACAATAATAATAATAATAATATATTATAACTATTTATTCCAACTAGCAGAAATCAATCCAATAAATAATTAAGCAGCTTAACTATGAATATAATTAAACAGATATTAGGAATTGATGAATTTGAAATGAAGAGAGTTGTTTACATGTTATCATTTTGCTCTTATTCGCAAATGAAAATAAATGATTTGCACTCTACTGTTTGAATTTTAGTATATTAACAATAATAGTATTAACTATTACAATACTAATTGCTATTAGTATTATAATAGTTAATTTTGTCATTATTATATAATATTTTGAAGAATTTAAATGGTTAGAAAAATAGCAAGATAAATAATCAGCACAGCAATGTAATACAAAGTAAGAGTAACCAACGAAAATTTGCTTTCATTTAAAAATAAATGGGCAATGAAAATTTTCATTGCCCATTTATTTTTCAGATTTATTTAAAGATTTCAATTTACAAAGATGGAGCTTAATATTTTTAAAATTCAGGAAGAAAACTATCCCAAATTTTTTAAAACTTACTTTTTAATTTTACCGAAATTTATTTTTAAAATTACTATAGAAAAACAAATCACAATAAGAAGTAATATACTGTGTAAATATGATATCTTTAAACAAATGTTTACAATGAAAATTATTAAACAATATAAAAATTTTATATTTTATAAAATACACATAGATAAAACAACAGACAATTATCGTTTAGTTTACTTTAATGAATGAAAACACAAAAAGAGAACAAAAGCGAGACTTTTGGTAAATAAATTTATCATCATCAAGCAAAACATATAACTTAAATGGAATTAAGTATAATCATTCTAGAATGTCAACAGAATATTACATTTAAATTTTAAAATTAATAAACACATCTTTAAATTTATTTAATAGAATTTTTAGATAATTAAATAAAACATAAAATATTGAAATTATCGTGAGAAAAATAAGAAAAAAATAAAATACATAAAAAAACACTTTAATGTTTATTTTGACAAATTTTAATTTAAAAGAAAACCAAACATATAAACCTATTAATATACATCAAACCTTAAATCAAGAGTCACTTTCTTTCAAGTAATGATGTTTACAAGATTATTTAGCTTTTTCAAAATGTTGAAATCATTTTTGAAAAAGGTTAGTTTGTGTAAGAAGGATAATCAATTAGGTCTGTTTAGAAAAGTAGTTGCAAAGAAAATAAGAAGCAATAATTAATAGAAAGCCTTCCTGGAAAAATTGTAAATAAATAGTTCAGGATTTACGAAACATTACAATAAAGGAAGTAAAACATATTTGTTTATTAGAATACAAAAGCTTATATATTCCAATAGAGGTAGAGAAAGCTTATGAAATAATAATAAGAACGTTAAAGGATCATTTTTTAATGTCACTGAAGGAAGAAAAGTGCTGAAAATTACAAGAACTGTGGGAACTTGTTGCAGTCAGAAAGTAGGATTTTCCATGGGATCACATTTGTCAAGAATAACAACAAAAATAGTAATTCAGGAGGTAGGTGATGGTACAATTGGAAAGCTTGAAAAGGATATTTTTTAATTAAATAATTTTAGATTCAACTGGAAGAAAATGATTTAATTAAAAGTTATAATTATTAAATTTAATACGAGAAGACACTTAATACCTCCCTATAAGGTCAAACAGATACATATGTAACCCATAGCCAAATGATCACCTTAAATACTTGGGCTAAAAATCTACTAATTTAAATAATTAATATTAAGTAATTTGCTACTAAAGGTAGACAATTTCAATTTGTTCGATTTAGTTTGAGTAAATGATTGGGACTAAAAATATGGCTCAGGTATCAAATTAAAGCTCTTACCCTAGATGATGTCACTGAAAAGTTCTGAGAAAGATCCAATGGTTCAGGCAAGATAAAGAGGCAAATGTACAATGTTAAGTCTACAAGATAAACATGTCAGAGACCCAATCCATTAACTTTAGCCTGAACAATTTTTTTGGTGTTTTGCAGTTTAATTATGGTAAATACTGAGTCAATAAATGTACATTTTAGTTATTAAGACAATTATACTCTTCCAACTCAGCTTCATCAATTGTTCCCTGCTCAAAAGTCCAAATAATGCCAAGCATACACAGCTATTTTTTTTAAATTCAAAAATGAATTTTTCATCATCAAATATAATCTTTGTAAATCCAAGTTCTTCACATCAGTAGATAAAAATTTTTATTCAACTTAATATGTTAAATAAAAATTTTATGTAATAGCAACACTGTGTGTTAATATCTTTCTGTAGCTTCATATACACAAATGTTGAAAGAAATTAGGGCATTTACTATTATTATTTTACATGATCTACATTGTTAGATCAAATATTACTTCATAATGATAAGAACACTTATTAGAAATAGTATTAACCATTGTCTTTATCAGTTTTCAGGGATTACACCCTAAATGCTGATGGATAATGTGTTACTCTTTCGGATCTATAGTTTTCACAATCCAGACAAAATTAATCTGATAACTAAATTTATAATTTAACAAAAAACAGACTTTTAAAAAAATGACACACAAAATATCCATCAATAATAACCACAAATATTTTTATATTCTTTATAATTAAAATAAAAAGCAGATCTAGTGTCTAACTACAATAAAAAAAAACTTTTGTCCATTAATGATTTTATGAAAAAATACAAAAATAAATATAGTATATAGTTTGTAAAATTTTTAAAATATATTTAAGCAATAAAAGAAAAAACAATTAAAGAAAAAAGTATCTATAAGGAAAACAATAAGCAAGCTTGGTCAAGCTAATCTGATAGCATGCTCCATCAAAGCAAATCAAATATTAATTTTGTTTAAAATAAATTTTATAAATTCTTGGAATCACTTAGTTGTTCAGAAGAAGTTTTCACTGAATATACAGTAAGGAATGTGGTTTATAGATTCAGATGAACTGGGTAGTTTTTACTATAGCTTACAGTGACTGTAAATGAAAATGTTCAGTTTCCTTTTGTGCATGCTTATGAACATGCACAATGAATGGATTGAATGAAATATAACTTAGGTAATGAAAGTAAACTACCTCATTGCACATGTCCATGGACATGTCTGATAGACACAAAAAGTCCTAATATAAGACTTTCACTATTATAGTGAAGCATGCTAAAAAAATAAACATTACAGATTCCATTAAAATTTAATGCTGAGGATGCATTTCTGTAAATGGAGGGCTAAGCAAATTAGCAAAAAGCTAAGTCATAACATTTATTTTTCAATAAGTTAAGATATAAATAATAAAATAAAATTTTTCTTAAATTTTCCTGATATTCATAGTAGCTACTTCACAAATGAAACATATGCTATGAAGGTTAGTTCTATTTTTAACAAATCTACCAAATAAAGCTCTGCAAGATATAAATTTATCTGTTTTATCTGTGGTTCTTCTTGAATATAATTAAAAAAATCCAGCAACATTTAGTGGCACCATCTGTTATGATATTTTATTTCAAAACTTTTTATATTTTTAATTGTTATAAAATGACAAAAATCTTAATTTTGAGGGTAAGGGTGGGTTTTATAAATAACTAAATGCTGATAGCAAGTAAAATTGTCATTAAATCTGATCCTACTCAAGATACACACAACCCTCTTTATCTCCTCGACCATTAACCACCAAAATTTAATAGTGCGAGAGCCGAACTTGATGAAATTTTTGAGAGAAAAAAATTTCATCTTTTGAATGTTAAATTAGTACAAATCCTAGCAAAAACAAAAATTTTTCAATTTAATTAATGGAGGATGATCGCATCTCTCTCCCTAGAGTCACTTCCTTTCCCAGGGGACTCATCGAATGTGTCACCAGGAACTAATTACAAATATTCACTATTGGTCGAAATTAGTAATGTGGCTAAAAAGAGAGCATTGAAACCAAAGGGGGAAAACCCCTGATATAAAAGGATTGAATAAAAGACAAGAAGGTCATCAAAAATCCGAGAGTTCACCGAGCTATCTTCTTTTCATGTGAGTGCTCCATTGCCGATCCTTTCATCCGCCCTTCCACCGATCCCTCAACTGCCATTCCTTTCCATTGTTACCATTTTCCAAACCTGACAAGCTGATGTAACAAACTCCAATTCCCTCAACGATCCAAGACGATCCTGTTCATCAAGCGATCTACGACATCAACAATCAACCCACCTATCAAGGTATTTTGCATCGTGCATAATATTGTACACTCTCTCTCTCTCGGCTAGGAACCCATTAACTTAATTAATTTAAATACTCAAGCATGTTATGCTATATAGCTTTATCCAATTTAAGCCGCTATTTGAAAGCTTAATAGAACTCTCTGTTATCCTATGTATACGTGTAAATAGTTTATATAAATAAACAGGTATTTTTTCTTTATAAGTAAGTTCTAGTGTGCACTTCTTTCGGTTGCGTCGTCTCTCGGTCTGTCTCCATCCCGGACTCCTAGTATCTACATAGGCAACCACTTGCAAAAAATCGGAACATCAACCGAGAGTTTCTGTATTTGCCTTAAAAGATACAGTGGTGTCAGTCCTGATATAGGCATCACCAATCTGGTGCCTACCCTCTGGTCAATAACATCAATTCCCCTAATAAACAAACTTCCTGCAAAATTTCAGAAATTTTCAACAAAAGATACAGGAGTTATTAAGCTTCAGAGGGTGAACAAAATCATGTCACATACACAAACATCCATACCAGTGGCAAAGAGTGGATTCAAAACTGAGGAAAGCACCTAACCAGTAAAGGACTAAAACCAGGTGCATTTAAGCACATGTCCACCTAAACAGGTAGAAAAACAAAACAATTATCTGTTAAACAAAATGTAACTTCTTACATTATCTTTTGTACACTAGTACTGTCAGGAGAAATTTATTTGAAATTAAGTAATGAAATAATTTAATTTTTAACAAATTGTAAAGATGCACCGCAGGGGAAGTGCTACCTACCACCCCCACCACTGATCCATACATATAGAAATTACCCGCAAATTTTTTTTTTTTATTTCTTGATGTTTCAAGGTTCAGAGTCCAAAAATAGAAAAATCTGGGGAGTCATTTTTTGACTGATTACCATAGTTTTCCTCTGTTATATATAACAACCAGAAAAGTAAAATGCTTTTGTCTTTTCCATAATTAGCAGTTGGTTTAGAGGCAGATGTCATTGCATTTGATCCACACACACAAATATTAAACAAATGACTTCTTGGTGTTCCTGCATTCCTTCCATTGCATTGTTCTAAGATGCTGTGGATAGTGTGAATAAATCTTTAAATGTAATTTGAGAACACATCTTATCTATTCAGTGCACCAGACTGCAACCACTTTAAAATGACTTCTTCAACAAGTTATTTTTGTTGCTAAAAATTTGAGGTTGTATTGCTGAAGCTTTACTGAAAATTTGTGACAAAATATGCACGAAGTCTGACTACAAGGATTCCAAACAAATTACAATTGACTGATCTAACATATCAAATGAGTCACAACATACAAACTGTCATAAGAGTACAACATAACAGTAAAACATTACAGAGAATGACTAACTTAAATGTAGTTAATTTTTCTAGAAAACCCAGAATGAGAGACATAATAAAAAAAAAAACTTTATTTTTTAAATTTTTATTGAATATTCTTATGTAATTAAAATTTATTCACTGAGTAAAATTTAATTATTAGTAACTGCTTTTAATTTTGTACTTTTTTTTTATTAATGTTAAATATTTGATTTATTCAGAAACTATTTATTTATTAAAATAAAGAATTATTTAAAATTTTCCTTTAAGAAAAGCTAGTTACTTTCAGCTTTACACTAGAAATAATTTGTCTTTGGAGTTATTTCAAATGGAATTTTTAGTCCACAAAATGATAAAAGTCAAATATTCTGTGAACCAAAAATTGATTGTTTAATATCATTAGATGTATAAAATCATTCACAACATAACTAAGCTCAATTCAAAATTCAAACTTTTAAAAAAAATTAATTTTCAAATTCTTGAAATTTTAAATTCTACTTTTATTTCAATATTAAAACAACATTCTTACCATGTGCTTCAAGTCCTGGTCCCTGAGCAATGCCTCCTTCATAAGTCTAAAAAAAAAAAAAAAATCCTTGAATGAGAGATTCATAGATATCTAATTATTATTGACAAATAAATCTTACCACACTTTTCTGAATATATTCTATTACTTTTGGAATATTCATGGCACTCCAATCTTGCAGAATATAACAGATACATGCTGCACAATAAACAAACCTCATATCATTTTCACTTTCATCAATAACTGGACAAAAACTGAGAAAAAATTCACATACATTATATTGTGTTAGCAATCAGGTTTATAATAAAAGATATTTTAAAAATTTTTACCTTCCATCTGGTTGTTGTAATGCTCTCACTCCTTCTATCAAAGCTAACCTATTTACTCTACTAAGATCATCACCAAGAATTATCAATGATGCTAAACCGGTATATGTCATCGCAATATGCGCACTATCATAATTATTAATGTTTCCTGGTTTCTATAAATAAATAATATTTTAAAAATAACTACATTCTAAATTTTAAATTAGTTAAGTTCATAATTTATGTAATTTAATTAGATTTGTCTGCATTTCAAACCAACATTACAGTTAAATATATGTACTTAAAATTATTTCATTATATACTGTTTTTTACGCTTACTTTAACAATTAAAGAATTTCCAATTGCGTTTGATCCTCGAAAACCACATCTATTTAAATTAGATCCTAAAAGATAAAGAATTCAAGAAATCTATTAAAAACAAATTCAATAAATTATTTTATATATATATTTAAATAAATATTTGTGATATTTTGTTTTTTATCTTCTGATTTACTTAAATTCTTCCATTCAGAAATAACAAAAACAATTTTTTTTGACTGTTTTGTCGGAGAGAAAATCAGAAACTTGAGAAAATTAGGACTTACTCATATTGATAACGATGATTAATTGATAACACTAAATAGAATAATAGTAGTTTTAACTGGATAAATATAACCTAAATCAAAAAATATTACAATTTTTCTTCATTTTCGAAAAGTTCTTGCTGGATTGTAAACTTTTATGTATTAATACAAATACTTAAAATTCTTATTTTATTGATTGTTTTTGCAAATCCTTCTAATCTCAATTATAAAACATATAACACTTATTAATTCTAATTATTATTCTTAATTAAAATAACATATGTCAATAATTTAAACTACTATACTGCAAACAAATAAGTTTTTTTGGTATTAGATCTCTTTCCACTCAGAGAGTGGAAAGATAAAGGGGGCAATAATAATTAAAATTACATTAAACATTTAAAGCAATGATTAAGACTGATAACAATTATTGCACATTATCAGTACATGTTGAAGCTAATAGCACAGAATAAACAGCTTAAATATTTCCATTTATTTTAATACAGGGTGTTTATAAATGAATAGTGTGGTTTTAAAAATTAATAATAAATTTATTTATTACCTAATATGGGCAAACCTTACAATATAAGCAGCGGCAACTGTCCAAGTTTTTTATGCATTAATCACAATCCTTCAATGTTTGCACCCATGGTCACATGACACACATCTACACGGTAATCAAATTCTTCCCATACGCAGTGTAGCATGTCCTCCATGATGGTCTGACAAGCGAAGAGCAGGTAGCACATAAAAAACTTGGACAGTTGCCGCTGCTTATGCTGTAAGGTTTGCCCATATAAGGTAATAAATAGATTTATTATTAATTTTTAAAACTGCATGATTCATTTATAAACACCCTGTATAATTACATATACATATGCATGAGGGGCATTTGAAGTTCCCAGAAAATGTAAATATGTCAGGAAATTGAAATTAGCATTTTATTTTTTTTTTGTTTTTATCATAAGTTCCATATAAGTTAACACATTTTTCCATATAGTGTTGTTACCCTTCTAAGCACTTCTGGTAGAAATCAATGCTCTTTGATTCTAGCTACTACACTATAAAATGTTTAATTTTGATCTATCAAGTGACAGCAAACACCTTTATCATCTGTTTTTTTTTACCTTTCCAGCTGTTATGTATACATAAGTAGAGAAAATATTAAAATCGTGTAAAATTTAACCCGTCAAGTTTTTTGCAAATCATCATGCTTTGAGTGTTCTGAAATCAAAAAAGTAAATAAATAAATAAATTCCTGGGGCATGTGTGTTGGCATGTCTGTTTCATTTAATATCTCAAGATGGGGTAAGGACAAAGAAATGAAANAAATAAAAATTTTAAACATAAACATTACATGAAATTAAATATAATTTTTGTTTCTATATTGAGGTGTTACAACTAAAAACTTAATAATAATTTTTATCCAATGATGATAAATTGGTTTTACCAAATTACTAGTTAATAATCTTTTATTCAGTTTAATTAATAGCTATAAAAATTTTACTTTTAATACGTGTACTATAGTAATAATTTACTTTCTAAAAATCTTTTCTACCATGTAGACACTTATTTGGCCAAACCCACAATGGAGAGCAGATGGGTGGTGAGGAATGGAATCCAACATATCCAGGACATAATGCTCATGAAAAATTCCTAGAGTTGTATGCCCATGTTTGATCCCTTCTGTTCCCAAACAGTACACAAACATCTTAACTACCTTGGCCATCTGGTTATTAGTAACAAGTTATTTGTTTAATTTGTCAACAAATTCCAAAGTTCTTTTACAAATTTTTCCTGACAATACAATTATGATTTGATAATACTTTAATGTATCTTTATTTAATGTGATAAAGTTTAGAAACATAATGAAAATATATATGTTAGGCTCAAAGACCAAAAATGCTTATTGATCAAAAGAAATCTACCACAATGCATTCTTTCTTCTCAGATCCACAAAACAAATTTCACATTTGGCACAACACATTCCGGCTTATTCAATAAAACCGCAAAGTGAAATTCGTATCAATATTCTGTTTATAATCAACCAAAATGCAATCTGACAATGTGGTAAAAAAAAGTATTTTGGTTGCTTATTACTGCAACCATGACACAATGTGATAAAAATATCTGTGCAAAAATTTGTTACTTATTTTTGCAGATATTTTTAATGAATAATCTATATATATAAAATTACAAATCCTGACTGACTGACTGATTCATCATCACCCAAAGAAAACTGCTGAACCTAAAGAGGTGAATATTTACCCTTTGTATAACCTCCACGGTTAAAAAATTGCTAGAGAACTTACACTTGTGGCTGATACAAGAATTAAACTGGAGAGCATCGCCAAGATGGCACACAAACATGGGTTTTCTAAAAAATGAATTCACAGTTTAGACAGCTACTATCAATTTGATTAGCTAACTTAAATTACATTGATGAGAACCACAATGATGACAGGAACAGAGAGATTAATATTAATTTCACCCATGCAGTAATTAATTTTGAGGACAATATGTATAATTATATAAGGAAATAGCAAGATATAAGGGCACGTATGTAGCATGCAGGTGCAATTAAAGCATCTATAAACTATTACATAATGGGAAAGATCTAATGAACATCAGGAGAGGACCTGGTATATATATATATATATATAGTCCTGTTATGGAATGAAAGATTTCAGATGGACCTAGATTACCTGATCCAGTTTTCAGCAACCTGAAAAGGTTGCTGAAAAACTGGATTGCAGAACACAGATTTGACATAACTCACAAGAAGAGATCCACTGTCCTATCCACATATGCATTGGACAATGTTACAGCAAAATTAGATCAAGCCTCAATAATAAATTCTCTACTAAATAACTTACAGAATTGAAGTCCTAAAGTTCTTTAAGGCAGACCAATGTAGATGCTGCATTAATTATAAAGAAAAGTCATTTTCATTTTGTTATATTTATAATTCAATTACGTCAACCATCTATGAGCATCTGATTGGTAGTTTCGAATTTGAAGTACATCTTGTTCTTTAGATTATTCCATTTTCAATACCAATAATTCAATCTTCTCCTAAAATGATCTTAGAAGATTGAAAATGGTAGTTTTTCTTCCCATTGAAGTAACATGATACTGGACTAGATCAAGGTAATGTGGTGATGTATTTGGCTAGTTTGTTAAATCTAGAACTGATCACTGGTATTGTGTACATCCTGGGGTTTGCCTATAGTTTTCATTATCTTTTACATTTGTTAATAATCTAATCATTGTTAGATTTTGCTTATAAGTGATCTATACCTAAATTTTTAGCTAATTTAGTGCAAATCTTGTTTAGTTTAGGTTCATAGTGAAGGATAAGATATTTTTGTTCTTGGATTACAAGCTGCATGTTCTTGCTTGAGTTGTTTTCTACATTGTGAACTAGTTTGATGATAAAGTTGGCATTAAAGATAGTGTTAAAACAATACTACAATATGTTCTATTTCATGCATAGTGTCCGAAAAATGAGCAATATAAGCTCATTTTATAAGCATCTTATAGTTTGTGGAATCATTAGAGTTAGAGATATGAAAATAGCATGGTAATTGGGTTCATGATATACACGAGTGACTATTTTTCCCGTGTCAAGTACAATTTCAAGGTCCAAGTAGTGGACTCGGATTTACTAGACTGGTAGATTTAATGCTAACACACATCTATTGTTATTCAAAGCTTGCAACAGCTCATTGATATTAAGTTTAGCTTCCACAGAATGAAAATATTTATATAAATATTTTGATGTTTAGATAGAAGTTACTTTTAGATATTTTGCATATATGGATATATAAAATAAGCTAAAAGTAAATTTTATCATAACATTTTCCAGGTTTATAGAACCTGGTTTACCTTTAACGAACCATAAAGCCTTTACATATAAGACTTGGCTGATTTCAATTTTAAAAACAATCAAATGATTGTTCTTTGTGACTACAAATCAAAATTAAATACGTCTATTCTCTAAAATAACTTTTAAGTGTTTAAATAACTAGATAGATGCACCTGCTTGTGTCTAACGAACGCAATCCATTAGGTAACATTAGCAAACAACGTTTGAAAAACTTAACATGCTGATTCCTAAGAAAGTCGATGTTTCTATATTGAGGTGTTACAACTAAAAACTTAATAATAATTTTTATCCAATGATGATAAATTGGTTTTACCAAATTACTAGTTAATAATCTTTTATTCAGTTTAATTAATAGCTATAAAAATTTTACTTTTAATACGTGTACTATAGTAATAATTTACTTTCTAAAAATCTTTTCTACCATGTAGACACTTATTTGGCCAAACCCACAATGGAGAGCAGATGGGTGGTGAGGAATGGAATCCAACATATCCAGGACATAATGCTCATGAAAAATTCCTAGAGTTGTATGCCCATGTTTGATCCCTTCTGTTCCCAAACAGTACACAAACATCTTAACTACCTTGGCCATCTGGTTATTAGTAACAAGTTATTTGTTTAATTTGTCAACAAATTCCAAAGTTCTTTTACAAATTTTTCCTGACAATACAATTATGATTTGATAATACTTTAATGTATCTTTATTTAATGTGATAAAGTTTAGAAACATAATGAAAATATATATGTTAGGCTCAAAGACCAAAAATGCTTATTGATCAAAAGAAATCTACCACAATGCATTCTTTCTTCTCAGATCCACAAAACAAATTTCACATTTGGCACAACACATTCCGGCTTATTCAATAAAACCGCAAAGTGAAATTCGTATCAATATTCTGTTTATAATCAACCAAAATGCAATCTGACAATGTGGTAAAAAAAAGTATTTTGGTTGCTTATTACTGCAACCATGACACAATGTGATAAAAATATCTGTGCAAAAATTTGTTACTTATTTTTGCAGATATTTTTAATGAATAATCTATATATATAAAATTACAAATCCTGACTGACTGACTGATTCATCATCACCCAAAGAAAACTGCTGAACCTAAAGAGGTGAATATTTACCCTTTGTATAACCTCCACGGTTAAAAAATTGCTAGAGAACTTACACTTGTGGCTGATACAAGAATTAAACTGGAGAGCATCGCCAAGATGGCACACAAACATGGGTTTTCTAAAAAATGAATTCACAGTTTAGACAGCTACTATCAATTTGATTAGCTAACTTAAATTACATTGATGAGAACCACAATGATGACAGGAACAGAGAGATTAATATTAATTTCACCCATGCAGTAATTAATTTTGAGGACAATATGTATAATTATATAAGGAAATAGCAAGATATAAGGGCACGTATGTAGCATGCAGGTGCAATTAAAGCATCTATAAACTATTACATAATGGGAAAGATCTAATGAACATCAGGAGAGGACCTGGTATATATATATAGTCCTGTTATATATAGTTCCGGAATGAAAGATTTCAGATGGACCTAGATTACCTGATCCAGTTTTCAGCAACCTGAAAAGGTTGCTGAAAAACTGGATTGCAGAACACAGATTTGACATAACTCACAAGAAGAAATCCACTGTCCTATCCACATATGCATTGGACAATGTTACAGCAAAATTAGATCAAGCCTCAATAATAAATTCTCTACTAAATAACTTACAGAATTGAAGTCCTAAAGTTCTTTAAGGCAGACCAATGTAGATGCTGCATTAATTATAAAGAAAAGTCATTTTCATTTTGTTATATTTATAATTCAATTACGTCAACCATCTATGAGCATCTGATTGGTAGTTTCGAATTTGAAGTACATCTTGTTCTTTAGATTATTCCATTTTCAATACCAATAATTCAATCTTCTCCTAAAATGATCTTAGAAGATTGAAAATGGTAGTTTTTCTTCCCATTGAAGTAACATGATACTGGACTAGATCAAGGTAATGTGGTGATGTATTTGGCTAGTTTGTTAAATCTAGAACTGATCACTGGTATTGTGTACATCCTGGGGTTTGCCTATAGTTTTCATTATCTTTTACATTTGTTAATAATCTAATCATTGTTAGATTTTGCTTATAAGCGATCTATACCTAAATTTTTAGCTAATTTAGTGCAAATCTTGTTTAGTTTAGGTTCATAGTGAAGGATAAGATATTTTTGTTCTTGGATTACAAGCTGCATGTTCTTGCTTGAGTTGTTTTCTACATTGTGAACTAGTTTGATGATAAAGTTGGCATTAAAGATAGTGTTAAAACAATACTACAATATGTTCTATTTCATGCATAGTGTCCGAAAAATGAGCAATATAAGCTCATTTTATAAGCATCTTATAGTTTGTGGAATCATTAGAGTTAGAGATATGAAAATAGCATGGTAATTGGGTTCATGATATACACGAGTGACTATTTTTCCCGTGTCAAGTACAATTTCAAGGTCCAAGTAGTGGACTCGGATTTACTAGACTGGTAGATTTAATGCTAACCCACATCTATTGTTATTCAAAGCTTGCAACAGCTCATTGATATTAAGTTTAGCTTCCACAGAATGNAAATTTATATATATATAAAACAAAAATGAACAATAATAAGAAAGTAACAAACTGGAATAACTTGAATCATTTTCTTTCCCCGATCATCCAGCATACGGATTTACATGGCAGAATATACCGGTTAACACGAATTCATTGAACTGATAAATATTTGTGATATTTTGTTTTTTATCTTCTGATTTACTTAAATTCTTCCATTCAGAAATAACAAAAACAATTTTTTTTGACTGTTTTGTCGGAGAGAAAATCAGAAACTTGAGAAAATTAGGACTTACTCATATTGATAACGATGATTAATTGATAACACTAAATAGAATAATAGTAGTTTTAACTGGATAAATATAACCTAAATCAAAAAATATTACAATTTTTCTTCATTTTCGAAAAGTTCTTGCTGGATTGTAAACTTTTATGTATTAATACAAATACTTAAAATTCTTATTTTATTGATTGTTTTTGCAAATCCTTCTAATCTCAATTATAAAACATATAACACTTATTAATTCTAATTATTATTCTTAATTAAAATAACATATGTCAATAATTTAAACTACTATACTGCAAACAAATAAGTTTTTTTGGTATTAGATCTCTTTCCACTCAGAGAGTGGAAAGATAAAGGGGGCAATAATAATTAAAATTACATTAAACATTTAAAGCAATGATTAAGACTGATAACAATTATTGCACATTATCAGTACATGTTGAAGCTAATAGCACAGAATAAACAGCTTAAATATTTCCATTTATTTTAATACAGGGTGTTTATAAATGAATAGTGTGGTTTTAAAAATTAATAATAAATTTATTTATTACCTAATATGGGCAAACCTTACAATATAAGCAGCGGCAACTGTCCAAGTTTTTTATGCATTAATCACAATCCTTCAATGTTTGCACCCATGGTCACATGACACACATCTACACGGTAATCAAATTCTTCCCATACGCAGTGTAGCATGTCCTCCATGATGGTCTGACAAGCGAAGAGCAGGTAGCACATAAAAAACTTGGACAGTTGCCGCTGCTTATGCTGTAAGGTTTGCCCATATAAGGTAATAAATAGATTTATTATTAATTTTTAAAACTGCATGATTCATTTATAAACACCCTGTATAATTACATATACATATGCATGAGGGGCATTTGAAGTTCCCAGAAAATGTAAATATGTCAGGAAATTGAAATTAGCATTTTATTTTTTTTTTGTTTTTATCATAAGTTCCATATAAGTTAACACATTTTTCCATATAGTGTTGTTACCCTTCTAAGCACTTCTGGTAGAAATCAATGCTCTTTGATTCTAGCTACTACACTATAAAATGTTTAATTTTGATCTATCAAGTGACAGCAAACACCTTTATCATCTGTTTTTTTTTACCTTTCCAGCTGTTATGTATACATAAGTAGAGAAAATATTAAAATCGTGTAAAATTTAACCCGTCAAGTTTTTTGCAAATCATCATGCTTTGAGTGTTCTGAAATCAAAAAAGTAAATAAATAAATAAATTCCTGGGGCATGTGTGTTGGCATGTCTGTTTCATTTAATATCTCAAGATGGGGTAAGGACAAAGAAATGAAATTTGGTAAAGTAGCTTGTTTATAAGGTATAGATGCTATTAAATATTGGGGGTTAAAGGTTGAGGGGATGGTGAAATAGAGTGGTTACATGTCATATGTTGAGTAGGGTACGACAATGAAGATTTTACTCATTAGCATTTAGTTTTTTTATAAAACCCATCTCTACTTAAGCATTTTGCTGTTTTATAATAATTAAAGATATAGAAATTTTTTATGACAAAATCTCATAACAGATGGCAATACACAAGATTTTATTTATTTATTCTAATCTCATTATTTCATTTATATATATTTTATATTATATAATTATAATATAAAAGTTATTTTTAAATAAAATCTCATAACAGTCAGGAAAGTTACACAACTCGTTGCTAGAATTTTTTATTTGGAATTGAAATTATTTTCTGAAAAAGTCCAGTGGGGCTAGGTGCAAATATGCAATAAAACAAATCTCGATAAGTCCGTGCTTGCATCAATTAATTATAAATAAAACATTCTGTTTACAAATAATAACCATTTTACAGAACTTTTAGAATACTCCAAGTATTTAAGAGAGAATACTTTTGCTTATAATATAAAATAAATTAATCATTGTTGAAAACTACACACATTTTATTTAGTAAATTGCCACCAAAAAATTAATTGCAACTTTCGGCATTAAAACGTTTGATATTTTTAATGCTGAAATTACAATTAAAATTTTATGAAATTTTTATTTAAGAATTTTTCAAAGTAATGTTCTAAATAATATTTATTTATCATAAAAATGATGCAGATTTGACTATTTAAAAATTTTTATATAAAAAAAATAAACATACCATTCAAATCTGGTAGAAGCTGAAGAGAATAAATCCAGTCAATAATCAGCTCTCTTTCCGATTCAATCTCGTCCAAAGCATTTAACAAGTCGAGTCCCGAGATGGCAAAATAAACAACAGTTAACCTATAAAAAATTGATAAAACTGAAATTATTTTCTGAAAAGTAATCCTTACTTAGTTATATTATTATACAGGGCTTTAATTTAAACAATAGTCTTTATTTGACACAGTCTCAAATTCATATGCTGTTAAGTACTAGTATTTTTAAATATATAAACCTAAGAATATGACCTACCCAAACTTATGAGAGTAAATTTATTACTGAAGAGAAAAACTATCTTTAATATTATAAAAATGAAATTTAATTCACATCTAACAACTTTATTCTTTATAAATACATATGGCCTTATCATATTTACAAACAATGCCTTCTCTAATAACATATGTACCATATTAAAATTTATATATATATAAAACAAAAATGAACAATAATAAGAAAGTAACAAACTGGAATAACTTGAATCATTTTCTTTCCCCGATCATCCAGCATAGGAATTTACATGTTAAATTAAACTGGTTAACACGAATTCATTGAACTGTTTAATTCAAACGAGATTTCGATACAGTATTTTTGTAAACTTCCAGAAATTTTAATTTTCAATTAAATAAAATAATTAATGTCCATCTATCAAATAAACTAATCAGAAAGTTTCTATAAAGTACAGGAAATAAGTATGACTAAAAATAAACATTGTGTCATATGAAGGCTGATGGGAGGTGATGGCTTCCAGACAGTGAGAGTGATGTGGATACTGTAACTGCCATTTGAACCTGCCTTTTTCAAACTTTTTTGATTTGTTTTGTCTGTTTGCTGATGGATTTCTCTGACTAGCTGATGTAATAAATTAATTTAAAAAATGATTATAGTCCAATTCTGTGTAAAAATTTAACCTTTTCAGCAAAATTTTAAAAACAATCAATTGTAGAATGGCATGTTTGCAAATAAAAAATAAAAAAGCATTAATTCTAGGCACAAAATATCACAATTCAAAAAATCTTTACTAAACACTTAGGAGTGAACAGATCAACCATTCAGAAAGGATTTCTTGGTATCTCATTTACCCATTCAGTTAAGCATTTTCAAGTTTATGGACAACACAGAGGTTTACATTGACAACACTTTACACTCGAAAATCTTAAAAGTCCAGTAATAAATAATTTTATACACGCTCTTAGATTGTTCCATAGATTTTTAAATAATTTTTGAACATGTTGTTCCATACATTCCATAGGTTTTTAAAAATAATTTGTAAATATTGTTCTTTGCATTCCAAGTTCAAATCTTACTGGTTTTAAAAACCTGAGGAAGACCAGGATACGGTCAAAAATGTTAGTTTTCCATTAAAGTGTATTACTGGACTTTTAAGGTTCTCGAGTATAAAGTACATGCATTCCAGTAATTATCTAAGTTGTTTTAATACATTGACACAATGATTCTACGTAATAAGATCCACAGAAATATTGTATGGATAGTTTATGGGTCACTAATAAACTGATAAAAAACATTTTGATTTTTAGTCAAATCTCCATAATTTAAAACTTTTTAACTTAGACAAATTTTCTCCCCCAATTAAAGTTAACCAGGTTTCACTGTACAAATTTCCAAAGATATTTGATCAAAAATGTTCATTTGAATAAAAAGAATTGAAAAAGCATAATATGAACTTAAATTTTCTTATTAATACTACTTTATTTTTCATAGAATTGTTCTATCTTTTCTTTCTACATTAGTTTTATTTTTCATATTATTGGATTGTCAAAACTCCGAAAATTTTTCTACTTTTTAATAACAAAAATACTATTCTTAAATAAAAATTTTAAACATAAACATTACATGAAATTAAATATAATTTTTGTTTCTATATTGAGGTGTTACAACTAAAAACTTAATAATAATTTTTATCCAATGATGATAAATTGGTTTTACCAAATTACTAGTTAATAATCTTTTATTCAGTTTAATTAATAGCTATAAAAATTTTACTTTTAATACGTGTACTATAGTAATAATTTACTTTCTAAAAATCTTTTCTACCATGTAGACACTTATTTGGCCAAACCCACAATGGAGAGCAGATGGGTGGTGAGGAATGGAATCCAACATATCCAGGACATAATGCTCATGAAAAATTCCTAGAGTTGTATGCCCATGTTTGATCCCTTCTGTTCCCAAACAGTACACAAACATCTTAACTACCTTGGCCATCTGGTTATTAGTAACAAGTTATTTGTTTAATTTGTCAACAAATTCCAAAGTTCTTTTACAAATTTTTCCTGACAATACAATTATGATTTGATAATACTTTAATGTATCTTTATTTAATGTGATAAAGTTTAGAAACATAATGAAAATATATATGTTAGGCTCAAAGACCAAAAATGCTTATTGATCAAAAGAAATCTACCACAATGCATTCTTTCTTCTCAGATCCACAAAACAAATTTCACATTTGGCACAACACATTCCGGCTTATTCAATAAAACCGCAAAGTGAAATTCGTATCAATATTCTGTTTATAATCAACCAAAATGCAATCTGACAATGTGGTAAAAAAAAGTATTTTGGTTGCTTATTACTGCAACCATGACACAATGTGATAAAAATATCTGTGCAAAAATTTGTTACTTATTTTTGCAGATATTTTTAATGAATAATCTATATATATAAAATTACAAATCCTGACTGACTGACTGATTCATCATCACCCAAAGAAAACTGCTGAACCTAAAGAGGTGAATATTTACCCTTTGTATAACCTCCACGGTTAAAAAATTGCTAGAGAACTTACACTTGTGGCTGATACAAGAATTAAACTGGAGAGCATCGCCAAGATGGCACACAAACATGGGTTTTCTAAAAAATGAATTCACAGTTTACAGCTACTATCAATTTGATTAGCTAACTTAAATTACATTGATGAGAACCACAATGATGACAGGAACAGAGAGATTAATATTAATTTCACCCATGCAGTAATTAATTTTGAGGACAATATGTATAATTATATAAGGAAATAGCAAGATATAAGGGCACGTATGTAGCATGCAGGTGCAATTAAAGCATCTATAAACTATTACATAATGGGAAAGATCTAATGAACATCAGGAGAGGACCTGGTATATATATATAGTCCTGTTATATATAGTTCCGGAATGAAAGATTTCAGATGGACCTAGATTACCTGATCCAGTTTTCAGCAACCTGAAAAGGTTGCTGAAAAACTGGATTGCAGAACACAGATTTGACATAACTCACAAGAAGAAATCCACTGTCCTATCCACATATGCATTGGACAATGTTACAGCAAAATTAGATCAAGCCTCAATAATAAATTCTCTACTAAATAACTTACAGAATTGAAGTCCTAAAGTTCTTTAAGGCAGACCAATGTAGATGCTGCATTAATTATAAAGAAAAGTCATTTTCATTTTGTTATATTTATAATTCAATTACGTCAACCATCTATGAGCATCTGATTGGTAGTTTCGAATTTGAAGTACATCTTGTTCTTTAGATTATTCCATTTTCAATACCAATAATTCAATCTTCTCCTAAAATGATCTTAGAAGATTGAAAATGGTAGTTTTTCTTCCCATTGAAGTAACATGATACTGGACTAGATCAAGGTAATGTGGTGATGTATTTGGCTAGTTTGTTAAATCTAGAACTGATCACTGGTATTGTGTACATCCTGGGGTTTGCCTATAGTTTTCATTATCTTTTACATTTGTTAATAATCTAATCATTGTTAGATTTTGCTTATAAGCGATCTATACCTAAATTTTTAGCTAATTTAGTGCAAATCTTGTTTAGTTTAGGTTCATAGTGAAGGATAAGATATTTTTGTTCTTGGATTACAAGCTGCATGTTCTTGCTTGAGTTGTTTTCTACATTGTGAACTAGTTTGATGATAAAGTTGGCATTAAAGATAGTGTTAAAACAATACTACAATATGTTCTATTTCATGCATAGTGTCCGAAAAATGAGCAATATAAGCTCATTTTATAAGCATCTTATAGTTTGTGGAATCATTAGAGTTAGAGATATGAAAATAGCATGGTAATTGGGTTCATGATATACACGAGTGACTATTTTTCCCGTGTCAAGTACAATTTCAAGGTCCAAGTAGTGGACTCGGATTTACTAGACTGGTAGATTTAATGCTAACACACATCTATTGTTATTCAAAGCTTGCAACAGCTCATTGATATTAAGTTTAGCTTCCACAGAATGAAAATATTTATATAAATATTTTGATGTTTAGATAGAAGTTACTTTTAGATATTTTGCATATATGGATATATAAAATAAGCTAAAAGTAAATTTTATCATAACATTTTCCAGGTTTATAGAACCTGGTTTACCTTTAACGAACCATAAAGCCTTTACATATAAGACTTGGCTGATTTCAATTTTAAAAACAATCAAATGATTGTTCTTTGTGACTACAAATCAAAATTAAATACGTCTATTCTCTAAAATAACTTTTAAGTGTTTAAATAACTAGATAGATGCACCTGCTTGTGTCTAACGAACGCAATCCATTAGGTAACATTAGCAAACAACGTTTGAAAAACTTAACATGCTGATTCCTAAGAAAGTCGACCTCCATTTTTCATAACGACTGAACGCCCTCTGCCTGTTCGTTCTTTTGAATAATTGTCAATTTATAATTTATACCCATATATAAAATTTCATATAATATTAATATTTGTTAAATTTTATGAAATAGTTTCGTATAATCCGAATTTATTTATTTCAACGGGAAAAAAGTTCATTATAATTGTATTATATTTCGTTATAAACGGCGGAATTACGTGAGCTGTAAAACCGATCTCAGTTTTCTATTAGAAATATTCTTAAATTGTGATAAGATATTTAGTTAAGAGCGGCGATTCTAAAAAAACAACAAAAAAAACACGATAGTTTCGTGTGACGTATCAGCCTGCTGAATAAAGGATCCGGGTTCGAATTCCGTCAAAAATATCATAATTAATTGATGGAACAATGAGCGTCTTCAAAATAGTGTGTTGGCAGCAAATTTCTGCCTTCTGTTCAAAATCACAGGCAAATTTGCTACCAGAAAACTGGAAGCGTCTTTTCGGCTGCTCTACATGCCAACAAACAAGATGGCAGCCACCACGAGTCATGTAAGAGGTATATTTTGCTTTGAATTTTGAATTCATTTGTTAATTAATAAATATACTCTGAATAAATGCAGAACAAGTTAGTACATTAATAGAATATTTTGATATACCAGTGTATTTACGTAAGACATTACACAGCCTAATTATTTTAGTTGTTGAAGTGTAATCTTAGGATTGATTTCATTACTCCTATGGAAATTAAAAAATTTTCATCCCTTTGTCTTTCTTCGAAATATTCATTGTTTTAATTAAGCTGTTTTCATTAAATAAGTTCAAAATTAATTTTAACGTAACGTGGAATTCCACATAATTTGCCATTTTTCTTGTTTTTCTTTCCCGGTTTTCCGGTAGCCAGCATTTGTGTTCTCTCGAAAACACCACTAGTTGTGTTACTCCCGGCAGCATCCCACCGGATTGACGCGGAGATTTTGAATACGCTCAATACATCCAATATTGTTTCCCATTTACATCCTCATTGGCTGACCTCATTGCGAGTCGGGCCAGTCATATAACATCTAATAAACTGTGCTTCTCTTTGATAAATCAATCGATACGTCATTAATAAGTGAATTCAAATACTTTGGAACCTGGTTAACTAGGAGTTCTTTTCTCTTCCCGATCATCTAGCATAGGGATTTACATGTTAAATCAACTGTTTCACTCGAATGGGATTTCGATACTTTCTGTAAAACGCGAAAACTAGGTAGACTGAAAATAAGAATAGGTGAGTAGGCTTTCAGACAGTAAATGACAGAATACCGAATAGCTTCTCACAGTTTAAAGTGGCCGGCAAGTCTTCGTGAACTTTGAACTTTCACCACAATAAACGCTGTTGTCGTTACTGTTTTAGGTTTCTTTTTCGTTACTACTGTACTACGGTTCTTGTTGAATGAATGAATAACTCAGGAAAAGGGTTCAAAATGCGTTTTATTTTCATGATGTTTCATGTATACGTAACAAGGCAAAATATTTGAATCTTCTCAAATTTGACCTTCCGAGTTATTTGCAAATTTCCACGTTTTGAGGTCCTCTGAACCGAAAATGGTCAAAAAAGAAAACGATCCACATGTGAGCGTGTAATAGAAATTCCTGTTTGAACTTTCCAAAACACAAGATAACATTATAATGAATGAATTCACTCGACATCTGTAAATTTTATTTTAATAATTCTATTTATTAATATCTATTTCGAATATTGTCCGAGAACTATTCGAAGCGCATTATATTTTATTTGCAATACTCCTTCGTATGTTTCATTGTGGTAAGGTAACATTAATGACTTTCATTGTTAATAGAATATTGCATGCCTTAGTTTATATAGGAATAATACGGTAAGTTGCCTAGAAGTTTGACAATGGCATTTGGAACGTTAATGGAATCATGCTCGACATTCCAAACGCCATTATAAAACTTCTAGCTTACAGGAAGGCGGCGCTAAACGTCCGAAGTACACATTTTCGCGTTGAAAACGTCGGCCGCAACCTCGCTATTAATTAAACTATTTAATTAACGTTAAACAGATATATTTCAAGTGTGAGTTAGGGCGAATGAAATAGTTAATTGGGATATTTTCCCCAAAGCTTTTCATACCTACTTTCGATTTTCATCTATCTAATTTCTCGAAATTAAGAAAGGGCCAAAGATTGACGGACGCCAAAGGAACTTATATGTTTTTACTTAAATCACGTTTATGGATTTTGAATCTACTCTATTTAGCTTTATGTCAACAAATAACTTATTAATGTCAAGTTACTACATAATTTGTTTGTATGGGTAGATATTTGCGGCATAAAATAAATACTTATAGAAAGAATTACCTTTCTATCTAATTCCACGTGTTGTGGTTGTGTAGACAATTATAATACTGCACGTGTTATTTTAAAATATATGCTCTCCACAACAAATTAGTGGCGGCTTGCCCCTGTACATCATACTTTTCCTTTAACAATCGAGTCGTGTCAATCATCTATTAACTGCTTTCAGGGGAAAGGTTTTGAATTGAAATAACGTGACTTCCGTTTTGCATCGGAAGTTCGTATATAGTTAATCGGGACCTCCTATCCCTACGATTTCCATATATTATCTCGGATTTCACCTATCTAACTCCGTTCTCGAAATTAAGAAAAGACAGCCGGAATTTATAGGTATACAATTTTTTCAAACTGCAGCCCAACATTAATATGTATGACGATAAGGAACAATCCATAAATGACGTCCACACTGGAAAAGACGGAGGGAGTTGAGACAAGTCGGATAAAGGAAACGGGAGGGATTGAACTTCAGTGGACGTCCGTTTTCATTAAATTTTATTTAGTTTATGAATTTTATTATATTTCAAAATCCAAGTCTGCCCTATCAAACAAACAGATAAAATTCTGAATAACTTCAAAAGGCCACCAATCAATCTCAAATGAACTGCATTTTGGACAGCCAAAAACAGCCGGTGTAAATGACAATGTCACAAACATCTATATCCTGCAATATTGTAGTGTGACATTATGATTCATTGCAGACCAATTGGAAATAATTCAAGAATGTATGAAGCCCCTTATCCATGAGAAATTGGATAGGGAAAAAGTTTGCAGCATGCTAAGTTTTCCAAAATTGACAGTCGATCACAAAATGTACTCAAGAGGTGTTGAGAAGTGCACAAAAATTCATTTTCAATGGCTGAATGCCAGTAAAGAAGACTTTCCAATTTGTCCGATGAGTGCATGATTTTGAAATTTGACCTGGAAACAAAGGTCCAATGAAAGCAATCAAAGCACAAGAACTCCCACCAAAAAAAAACAAACCCAGCCAAGTGCCTCAATTCTGCAGGATGTTAGAGTGATGCTCATTGAGGTTTGGCAAAGGAGATGACAATTGATGACAACTGCTACATAGCATTGATGTGACAATTCTGCAATGCAATCAAAAATTAATATCACTATCTTCCATCAAGACACACCCAGTCATGAAACATCCCAGGCCATCAAGACAATTAAAGAATATACCTTCAGAGCTTTAGAACATCCTACTAGGTTCATCAGATTTCACACCATTCAATTTCTATCTTTATTCAGCAATGAAAAGGCATTCAAAAAGACATTTTCCAAATGAAGACAATGAAATGGCAGCCATGCAGGAATGGTGACAAACAGGACATCTTTTTAATGAAAGTATCAACTATGTCAAAAAACAAAACCTGATAATTGTCTTATCCCAACTTACAAGTAAATCTAATGGCAAAAATGCATAAAGTGAATTTCTGAATCAGTGCTATTACATAACAGATAAAATTGGCACTATAGCTTTCTAGCTTGAAGGCAATTTTGACTTTTTTAACACAGCTAGATTGACATGTATAATATGAAACAGGGACATGCTAAAGACAAAGGTACTAGAGAGCCCAAGTACAGTACAAGGAAGCCAAAGGGCTCTACCATAGGGCGGCTAAATAAATTTTTAAAAATTTAGATCATCAGTGTAAAGATCTTTGATAAAATTAAATTTAACAGAAATATTTTTATAAAATGGCATAATTGTGGGTAAAAATAAGTTTACTAATTTTCTTCAAACATTATAGATGATGTTTCAGCCTATTTGTATGTCCACTACAATACACGAAAGATGATAAATTTAAATAAAAAAAAATATTGGAAATACTGTTATCAGTTTTAATCACAAGATATACAAAACTTCTATCAACATTCCACAGTATTAATTTAATTCAGTTTGTATTAATGCAAACAACTCAAAATGATTCTTATTAATGCTAATAATGAATATAACAATAAAATTTTTTCTTTCGTTTTGCTAAATAACAACCCATTTGTATTTTTATTTAAAAATCTATACAACTATTTCTAAATAGATATGTCTAGTGAATTTATTAATATATTTTTTACATAAATTATACAATATTTTCATTTGCGATACCACATTTGAAAAGTTTTCATTCTTTTGACTTTTTTCTGAAGCTGAAGAACTCCATACAATAGTGCTTCTGCTGTTGGAGGGCACCCTATTAATATTTGTAAAAAAATATTTAGATGATAAGATTTATATTTCTGTAAAATTTAATTAACTTAAGAGAGTTACCTGGGACATAAATATCGACTGGTACAATTCGATCACATCCCCGTACTACAGAATAAGAGTAATGATAGTAACCGCCACCATTAGCGCAACTTCCCATTGAAATAACCCACCGAGGCTCTGGCATTTGATCATACACCTATAAAATTTCAAAATTTGATTGTATCAGAATTATAGTTATACTATTTGATTTTGCATATGTTACTTTATTATAGCATACTTTTCTCAATGCTGGTGCCATTTTATTAGTGAGGGTTCCTGCAACGATCATAACATCAGATTGCCTGGGACTTGCCCTAAATACCACTCCGTAACGATCCATGTCGTATCTGGGAGCGGCCATGTGCATCATCTCTACGGCACAGCAGGCGAGACCAAATGTCATTGGCCAAAGAGAATTCTAACAAAATAAATTAGGTTGTAACTTAAAAACACTCTTTTCGTCATTTTTTACTTAACAACAGTAATTTACCTTTCTTCCCCAATTAAGAAGGTCATCGACTCTAGCTATTGCATATTCCAGTTTATTACTTGTATTTTGAAAAGGAGAATAAGGTCTCTTTTTTGTTGGAAGGTTTGAAGGTTTAGCTGCATCAGAAACTTCACTGGCATATTTGTTTACCACAGGACAGAGATTTGACCTCAGAGATAATAATGGCCCAAACTGACCTCTTAAACACAAGGCTGAAAAGATGGAAAAAGTAATTCTTTATAAAATAAAATCCACACAAAAAAGTATGAATCCAGCAAGTAATCTGCATGAAAAAACCATATTTTCATGTGGATTACTTGCTGGTTATCTGTAGTTAAAAAACAATTTGAAAGGGGTGTAGGTTAAGTGATGGAGTAAGTTATATATTGATTTTAAATTGAAATTAAAAACTCATGCCTATTGAGCAATGGCTGCCCCTAGCCTCAAGATGTACACTAACACAGGTTACAGATTAAATTTTCTTCCTAGCAATTTTATGCAGGGTATCTGCCAGCAGCTATCAAATCTTATGACAGGAGTCATATATTGCATTAAAGAAATATGTTTGTTTCCACCAAATATTTTTCATTTCAGTCACTAGATAACACAAGGAATGAAAATAATGACACCACAACAGAAGTCATTTTGTGTACTGTAGTTTCTCAAGTCAAAATCATTAATCATAGTTCAATGCAAATTTAGAAGGCAATTTAACACTGATCAACCAACTAACATTTGAAAATGGTGTCAACCCAGGGTAAAAGTACCTTTGTAAAGGAAAAAATTCTTGTTTACCAAGAATGGCAGATAAAAATGTGCAAAAAGTTAAAGAAGCTTTCCAAAGAGAGCTGTGAAAATCAGCAATATGAGCTAGTCACATTTTTGCTGTTTTTAAAGGTTTCACGAGTGTCTGAATTTCTATATTCACAGTTTCTTTGAGATCTAGTTTGCCAATAAAGTACTTTCAAATTCGTCATATAACACTACAGATGTAAACTTTTTATTCTGTGAACAGATTGAAGTAAGTGTGAGACCCTAATGTAATAAGCATAAACAAAGCCTTATCAACTTAAGATTTTGTAGTATCCATTGGCATTACAGTAAAAAGTAAAATAGCTGAAAAGCAAGAGTTTTTCAATATAATTAAAATGATATTCAATGTTACTTTGTAAAAACAAAATGTTATTCAGAATTAAACAGAATAATTTACAAGATTTGCTCAAAATGTTTTCTGTGGATGTATAATTGCATTTGGCAAACTAGTGACTTGTGCACACCATCTAACATATAATAAACATTTTCAACATTAAAATAAAAAAGTTTTAGTTGGTATGTGTCAGCAACACAGAAGTGGAAAACGAGTGGTATCCTTTTGACAAGAGGTTTAAAATTTGATTAAAATTAATTGGACTGTCACTGTTGATTGTGAACAGAAAATGAAAGCAATTTTGTAGCTTCAATATACAGTAATACCTTGATTTTTGTTGGCACTACCTTTGGTTATCGTCGGTTTCAGTTTTTGTCAATTTTTTTCCAAAAAAAATTTGTCTCAGTTTTTGTTGGCATGCACACGTGATCTTGCTGCTAATTTTGCAAAAAGAAAGGGTGACTCACGTGTTTTCCCGCTCAGTGTCATTGTGTGAGCATTACACCACGCATTTAGCATCAAACTTTACAATTAAAAATTTAAAATATAACTTTCTTTTGGTATCAATTTTTAATTATGAAGTTTCGTATACTTTACCATATTCTTAGGTATGCTGCTGTTTATTTGTATTTATTAAAAATTCTGCTATAGACACTCATATAGCAGAACTCCATAAACATTGGTAAGTTTTGTAAATAAAGACTAACAAAAGAATTGTGTTAATAAGTACAAAGTATTCCACCATCCTAGGACAAACAACAAAGATTACGACATATCAGCTGCACGCAATTGGGAATTGCGCTATGCACCGTGCACTCCACTAAGACTATTGCATTTAACTATTTAGTCCACACAACTATGCCAGCTTTGAATATTCCATTTGACATTTCATGAAGTACTCGGTATTATATAGTTTTAGGAGGGTAGGGAGGCTTGCCCCTAAGTGTTCGACTACACGCAGAGCACCGGTCAAGGCGAGCTCCGCAAGGTATTCTCCACGCTCCGTGTCAATCGAGGCGAGTCGTCACTCGACGGCTTGCTTGACCGACACAGAGCACAGAGAATAGGCAGTAGTACCGGTTCAAGGTAAAACCCACATTTGGTTGGTAGAAGTTAATGCATTTATTATTTGCCATAGGCACCGATGTCCACTGCTATAATATATCTTACTCGGAAGCACGACGGCGACCGGAACCGCCACCGTCGGGCTTCCACATTTAGAGGCAAATATCTTGCAGAGTCACACGTCGGACTTTCCTTAACTGTTTATTGATAAACATCATTAGAATAACCAACCACCATGCTGGGCGCCTGTTAAACACACAACAGACTTAATGCATGCTTAACTGTGACTCCCCACAGTGCCTGGGAAGTAGGTCGTAGGCTGATTTCGCAGGCTATATCTCACAAAGGGTCACATTTTGAGGTACAGTTCCCTTGACATTTTTTCTCCTACTGGCATTCTCTATAGCTCTGTTGGTAAGATCCCAATAGTGTGATTCACATCTGCAATCTTAATAATAAATCTTTTGCCTGTTTTCTGAAAGTACTTTTAAATTTTTAAATAATCTGGAATGTGCGATCAAAACAAACAATATCAGAAACTGTAATGTTTAAAATATATACATATATATGCTAAAACCAGAACGTTTCCTGAATTTTTCATAGATTTATTTACAAATTTATAATTATTTCCATTTGTTTATAAATAATTTTTATAACTACATCACATGGAAGAACCTTTACCTTTGGTCGCCATGTTTCTTTACTTCGCCACCTGGTGTCGCGAAAGCTTCTATAATTCGGTGTGACGTAACTTTACATAACTTTCTGTAATATTCATTGTCTATTATTATTTTTAAATTAAAATGTAATATCGAATAGAAACTTACTGTCTTTTTACTTAAATTACTATTATAAATTAATTTACTAATTTCATGGTTATAAAATGTAACTTTTATGTAATTCCGTTATTTTGATTTTTTAACGCGAAATATATTTTCGGGATGGAAATAAATTTCTGCCAAATTCTCAATTGTTTCTATATAAACGTCGGCTCGATAATTCTATTTAAGTTTATTAATTGCTAGAGACGTAACAAAGGCGTAACTTTACCCTGGTATAGTGGCATACCCTGCGTTTTATAAACAGTCCTAAGAGCCGATGCATACGAACGTAAAAATTAAGACGTCAATCATTGTCACAAGTAGATTATAGAAATACAGTATTGCACAAAATATAAGGTTAAGATTATAATTTTTAGAATTTTTTACTCGATTCCAAGGAGGAGTAGGTGCCCAATCTGCCTCCCTCTGCGGACGTCCTTGCCTGAGGCGGTAAAAGATATCTGCTTTTTATGCCGCTTTGGGAGACTCGGATGCGAGTCCGAATTGGAACCTCTCGAATGTTTTTACGAAAGGATTTGGGAATTATTTTGATAATGAAAGTCAGTACTTCTCTCGATACTTTTCGCGATTACACTTTGTTTTCAGTTATCTGAATCGAATGTCTTTTTTTTCCATTCAAAAGAAATACGTACGTTCTTGCTCCCGTTTTAAGAACCGAATGGACACATTGTTAGATCTTATCGATGGATTTCAGTTCGGTTTCGAATCCCGTTGTGAACCTCATTATTTTTCATGTAATAGTTCGAGAGGATATCCCTAATTTTTCGGATGTTTAACTGAATTTTAAACTAAATTTAAGGGTTAAATTTAGATTTCAAATAGAATTCAAAATTTGGATAGGTCAGAATTACGTTGCTGCAATGGCGAAAAAACGGGGTAAGTATTACACAGTATATCCAATATTCTCGAAAACCATAAAATGAAATCAGACTTGTATATAACAATACTGTTTAATTTTAAATTTTGTGAACTTTATTTAACTTTTCTTGTGTTCCGTATATTTGAAATCACTTTATATTTGTGTGAAACGTGGTAGTTCCTTTAAATCGACACTGTACTTACGTAACCAAATTGGTCCGGAATGCGTGTTATTTCTTAATTCGTCTTTCCAAGTTCCACGAGGAAGATAAATGTCTCTACTTCTAGAACCTTCCTCTAATACCGGTGCAACTAATAATTCGTCCCCGACTAAAAATTCCGAATCGATCGTCAACGCGACATTATCCTTTGGGTCAATCCACCAAAGCGGTCTGATAATGGGTACGCCCGTGCGTAAGGCTTCGTTAGCTAATCGAATGAATCGAGGAGCATTTCTACGATGGAGGTCAACCATTTCTCGCGCAATTTCGACCACTTCGTCGTCGTAAGACCAGGGAGGAAAAGAAAATTGCATGGCGGGAAGTAAGGCATTCGTTTGTAACCATCTTATATACAACTCTTTATCGGGTAATTCGTCGTTACCACCAATCATATCGGGTAAAACAAACGGATATCCAAAGACAAAAAATAATAAAGAAGCAGGAATAAGAGTCTTTAAACCGTTTTTATAACCCCAGACCGAATTCCTATCCAGCATTCTCAAGAAAAAATTCATATTTTGATTATCGTGTGACGATCGCACTTCGGCCATTTTATCTCCCGATTCTGCAACTGTTTGGACGTATTGATTTGTAAACTGATTAACATATGTTGCATTGTAAAGAAAACTATTTTGTGGTATCCAAGATACTTCTCCTGCATCGAATTTAAAACCATTTATATTATATTTCTTCTTAAAACTTCTTAAACGTTGCAAGTACCATTCGGTGGCCGAAGGATTTGTTGTGTCGAGATAGCCCCCTACGCCATTCCACCACGTCACTAATTGAGGCGGTCCTTCCGAAGAGTTTTTGCGTATCCAATATCCTTTTTCTTCGCCTTCTTTGAAGGCATCGCATTCCACGTTAGCGAAGGGGTGGACCCAAAACGTAACTCTAACTCCCGAATCGTTTAATTGCTGGATCATGGAAGAAGGATCTGGAAATTTTAACCTATCGAATTGAAGATTGCCGTAACAATCTTCCCATTTATCATCTATCTCGATGTGACTTAGTCCAATTTTGCTATCTAAAACATTATTAGCATATTCTATTACTGCGGATTGAGTAACAAATTTTTTGTAATAAGCCCAAGTGGACCATACCGGTTCGGTTAACATTATTTCATCCGGGATGCTCTCGGGTTTCTTCCAAACGTTACTAAACATGTATTTCGTAATTTCTTTTACGTCTGCTCCCGAACAAATTGTGTAATTCAACGCTTTTCGTGGCATATTATGCATCTGTAAAGACGAGATGCATAATCGATTGTCTCCGCTGGCATTGAAACTAACTTGCAAATCTAAGCTTGGGCTAGAGTATATTGCAAAACCATCCGAGGTCAACCACGCATTCTCCACTAATCCGCCATATTGGTAATGAAAAAAGTCACCGGTGACGTATGCCGCCGACTGACGATTTTCGTTCTCCAATGGCCATCTTTGATTCTCCACTTCACCTCCGCCATACCAGTATCTGTCACCGAGTCTGTAACAATCTCGAACTTGGTAAACCAACCATTCCACATTGTAACAGGACACGGACGCTTCAATTTTATTAATAGTTAATATGCCCTGTTTGTCGTCGTCCATACATATCACTTTTTTGCAATTTCTCTCTAAAGCTTTGCAATTTTTCATTTGCTTCTCAATACTATAATCTAGCCCAAGTTGTCCTTTTAAAGTAGAGCCACTTTGTGATTTTAAACTCAACTGCATATCTTTTAAATCTATGTCTTTCATAGCCATAATTTCTTTTTGGAAGCTGTATTCCGGTCTTGATAAATGCACAAGTGCAAATACAAGACCTAGCATACGCATCATCTGCATAAAAGAAAAATATTATTTTGAAATTATGTATTTACTAAATAATTTTCAGCGTTTAAATTCTATCTATAAATTCTTATAGATTAATTCTAATTATCTCTTCAACTACTTTTCAACTATCATCACATCCCATGTAACGCTATGTAACGCTGTCTGGCACAAACAACCCAAAATTACGTAATGTATATCCTCAATCAACTCCCTTAATTGTACTAGGGAATAATACACAGCACTGGATACTGAACGGTTTCATTAGCATTATTTTAATTACACGAATAACGTACAAAGCAGTGATATAAACAGCACTTCCGAATGTTAAATAAGCAGGAATCCAACAAAATCTGTCATGAATCGTTTGACACGAGTCTGAGTTATTGTTACCATTTGACAAAGAAACTTCTGCTGGCTTATTCCTTACATATTTAATTAAAGAACACCAGTAGATTTACAGACCCTCGCGCTTCAGAACCCATAAAAGTTTCGCTTTAGAAAGGGCACGCAAGGATCAGCTGCATTTCCCTTTTGAGGGTTTTTCCCTAGTAAAGCCCGGGTACCTCAGGTAGTAGAAAATTTGATTTCTGGATCTTCTATTGTCTAGTATCAGTGGCTTATCCACCAGGATTTTGAGAATAAGCATGGTGTTCATGGCAGATTCTGAGGAATGTAAGCATATCCCCATGGCATTTTTTTGAGAATGTTACTTAATTACTTTAGATACCCAATCTTATCTAATTAAAGTCATCCGATATTCATTATTATATTTATTTTTATTTTAAATTAAGGGAACTGATTACATTGGTATCGAGACATGCTGCAGCACCATAACACCACCTGGATATGTTCCGCTTAGTATTACGTAACGTTTACTGTAAACGAAAAGAGTTATTATTGGATGCGATCTTCATACGAATTTTAAAATGCAACATACGTAAGCATGACGTTTTCGTGTGTTTAAATATAGAATTTATTCATTAAGCAAATTAAAAAAAATACTAAACAAATATTTAAATGTCAGACTGTCTTTCTATTAATTTATTTAATTATATTTAAAAATAGTATAAATTATCAAACATTTTACATAAAATATTTTTGTTTAAACCTACCTTATTTATAATAGAAGATTTATCATACGAAAGAAGAAGAATATATAATACGTTATTAATTTAAATGGATGATAATGCTGAGGCGAGCCTATCAATAACAAAATTTCCTTTTATCGCCCTTTAAAAATCCCTTGGATAACGTTTTATCGTGTTTGACCTTGAATTTTCGATTGTCATTCACTTACACTCCCGCCATCTGTCGATGATAATCGAAACGAAATACAAATTAGGCTTTTCCCCTAAATTTAGGGGAGAATCAGCAGGATGGGGGAAATTTATGGAAAAATGTAAAGTCTGCCCATATTGGTTAGTAGAGTTTCCAAATGACACATAACTCATGATTGTGATTCGGAGCAGGTCGCTTCATCACACGATGCTTTTCGTTCAGATGAGCTCACATTTGTTACTCTGGATTATCAAATGTACAATGCAAATCAAAAAGTATTAGAACATAACGATTTAAGGATACTTGTTTCATTTTTTTGAGAGGAAATGTGTTAGTTTTAGGGGTAATTTCAAATTTGTTTAGGAGGCTTTCACGACAGGAGGTGACATCGCCGAAACAAACGGTCCTTGACTTATAGACGAAATCAGATGCCAGGATGTCAAGTAGTAGGGGTTGCGTGTTACAAAGGGAGTTCTGTTCTCGGAGAGCAAAAAAGGAAAACTCTAAAATGTCTGGCTAAGTTAGAAAAGTAGTAGTTTTTTATTGTAAATTTGTAAAACAAAGTATAAAACATTATTTGAAATGTTTAATCAAAAATTCAACATAAAACCCACAATCGAAACTGAAACTGGCTCTACAATTGGATTGATGGGAATAAGTAATGCAACGCCAGGCAAATGCAATGCCAAGGTGGTGCTTCCAGGGAAGACTTTTTGTGGAAAACTGGCCCTTATTTCGGTGGTAAATACACGAAGAATATTTTAAAACTACAAGTCCGTTGGTCGGGCGTGAACCTTCAATAAACTACCAGTGTTCGGTACCAAAGTGCGATATTGGAGTAGACCACCAGGCAAGAATTAGGCTCACACTTTTTCCCGGACACTAAAAGGATTTTTAGATTCACATCTTAGATTCATAGAAATTCACAAATAAGGCCACCGACTGGTGAGATAACTCTCACTTGTTCGATACATCTAGACCTTAATGAAAATTTCTGAGTCAACTCGAATTTGAATCTGTATTCCATAGCTTCATTATCACTACCATTTGACCCGCATTATCTTGTTGCTATGTGGGACACAAATTCTAATCCGAATCTGAACTTCAAAAATTTCCGTGAGGATTTGATCTTCGTTCATCACATCTTGCCCGGACATCCAGTCACTCCGCGTGTTCTTGTCCGAAACCACCAGAGACTTCAAATAGGCTTAAATCCACATATATAAATTGTATAAAAGAACTAACAATAGACATATATAAATGATTTTATTCTTGCGATTTCAATAATACGAACATTGTTAATTTAACGTTTTCTAACAATACGTACGGAAGAAGTGCTTTAAACTTGTAATCGTCAATATACACAATGAACGTACGCCATATATTAATGGTAATTATACCATTAGTCATTTTAATGAATGCTCCTACGGGACAAAACTTTAAGATACGTCTGAAAAGCAAACACAAGAATAAACACAGCTTACTGTCCCTCGGTTCCAGAACTGATGAGGACGAGGCTTACAATGAAGATTTGAAGAATATATTGTCTTCACCTCAGTTTGAAAAATACGGCAATACCTTTGTACTGCGAGGTAAATCAAAAATTCGAGAATTGGACTGGCTAATGAGGCCGTCGACCCAAGAAAAAAGTATTAGTCTACTAATGAATATGGATAAAGATACTGATGAATATCGACATAAGCAAGGTATCACTAAACAGAAAAGTTTCAAAAATTCAAGAAGTGAAGTTCAGATGCCTTCTTTTGTGGAAAATTACAAAAAATACAAAGAATCGTATTTTATGCGAAAATATGCAAATAAAGAACTCGAATCAAAAGAAGGAATGGAACAAATGGGAAAATTGAATAACAATGCTCGGTTTTCGGAGAAATATCGTTTTAAATCTCGTCTTAACAGAATGTTAATTGGTCCAATCAGGCAGAAAAATGACGAAAATAAAATATTAAAAAGTAGAACTGGTTTTAAAGTGAACAGAAAAGTTGCCAAGCAGGAAAAGAAGGTCGTAATGAAGAAAATAGGCCGAGCAATTTCCATAGTATTGGTTGCCTTCGTTGTAGTATCGTTTATATCTCTACTTGCTTCTGCGCTCGTGCACATTTTCTCTAAGATATGTCGCGAAACACCATCTAAACAAGAGAAATACGAAGGACCCCAGCCACCGAAATCCGTCTTCTTCGCCGATATCGATTCATCTCTGTGTGAAGAGGGCGAGATACAGAAATCCGAATCGGCTAGTTTGCAAGAAGAACGTAAAGAAATTGTTTTGTCACTGGAAGAAATACCGGAAGACAATGATATCGAGGAAACAACTCCGTTGTTATCTCCAAAATCAACATCACCGAAAAATAAAGAAGATAAGTATCATTCGTCTTCCTCCAGTGGAGCCGAAACTGTACAGACGATGGTCAAAATTAAAGCTGTTTCTGGTAGACATAGCTCTGCATCTTATGCGAGTGATTCGTCTGAGAAAAAGGAAGAAATCGATTTAGACACCGACGTCAAATTATCCAAACAAGTAAACAGAATTAATTCACACGATGAGATTTATGATTTTTTAAAATCTTCCGGAGTGCAGTCTGGAAAAGTCTCGCATCCTCTCCCGAAGACAAACGAGGATGCCAATGCATTTCAGGACATAACAACACAGGAAGTCGAGTTTTCATTAAACAATCAATCTCACGATCTGTACACGGTTCCTACTATAGAATACACCAACCTAGCATCGGCTCTTCAAATGAAAAAAGAATGTTTGAAGAACTTAAACCAAATAACTTATTGTGGAGATTCATATAATAGATCGTCTGTGGATCGTAGTTTAATAGAAGTGTCGCCAATCGATAACAAAATTTATTTTTAAATAATTAAATAATTCATTTCCAAATACATTAATATGATTGATTATTTTGTGCGAGTTTAATTGGAAATAAATATTTTCAAAATTTCATTGTTTTCTTTTTATAATTATAGAAAAATTACCCCTTTATAAATAACACCAGTAGATTTTAAGAAATGTAGAATGTTATTAATATTAATGTTCCCAATATCAGTATACATTGTTCTATCAGAGACAGTATACGTAGTATACTTAATTAAAATATACTACGTACTAAACACATTTAAAATACAAAATTCTTTGGAATATTGAGCTATTTGAATAAATAAATTACAGTAATATATATACAATTTAAAATAAAATAGATAAAAAGGAAAAAGAAAAAAGATTACATTCATAATATCAGCTTTTGGTTGTATGGACATTATGCACTATTCTCTAATAAAGTTCTTTTTGACCATATATTTCTACGCTGTGGCATTCTTATAGTTGATACATCTGGCCAAAAGGTTACTTCTATAAACTTTTTTTCCAAATTTATCGTGAGTGTACCGGTTTTACAATGCTAGCTTCCTCCCTTTCTACCACTGAGCCTTCGCTTTGCTCCATTCTAGACAAAGTCTTACAATACTGCATTTTCTCAATATTTTACGTATGTTCTTTAAGACGTTCATTGGAGTTTCTGTTTGTAATCCTTATGTGTTTTTTCTCCAAACCCAATTGTTCATTTTTATACGACATTCTATATACTCCAGCCTGCTCTCGTTTTTTAACTTTATTATTCCTTAAAAGGTTATAAACGGTGGGCGCTCTCTTGAAAATCTCTGTGGGAATATTGGTAAAATGCTATTTCATTCATAACACCGGTCGTGTTCTTGTTATACGTAAACTTAAGTTATTTTGTTCTTTCTTCTTACCATTCTCTTTCTATTCACCGTATAACTTCTTATCAATTTTTTCAATTACAAACCCTAGACCAGATATGGAAACCTTAGGGACAGGTGGACCCGATTAACTGTATACGAACTTCCGATGCAGACCGGAAATCACGTTATTTCAATTCAAAACCTCTCCCCCGAAAGCAGTTAATAGATGACCGACACGACTCTATTGTTAAAGAAAAAGCATGATGTTCGTACAATGGCAAGACACTGCTAATTTGAGGTGGAGAGCATATATTTTAAATTTGCGGAATACCGAAATCACAAAGGTCGTAAAATAACAACAAAAATAAGCATGAACCAGGGGCGGACTGGCCATGTGGAAAATGTGAAAAACTCCACATGGGCCGTTTTTTCTAAATATATACATAATGTACCGCTTGGTTAAGTTTAATTTTTAAAAAATTCATTTATTTTTTTCGTTAAGTAAGGTAAATTTCAATTTTTAGGTGTAATATACCTATATGTGTAGGCCTGTATAATTTTACCCGGCCCTACCCGTATCCGAAGTTAAATTAGTTCGGCCGACCCGAGTCAAACACTACATTAGCCCGATTCGGCCCAAACAGAAAGCATTTTAGGAGAAAAATAATCAAAACTACCTTCTAAACAGAAAAAAATGCTCATTTGTTTACATTGCTGGAAACTATTCACCACTCCTATGAATCTTAAATAATGCTAAACTATGGAAGCGACGCGCGCCGCGATGTCGCGCGGCCCGATTTTGGGGGCTACATCTCGTGATGTGTCGCCCGTAGGGGTATGGTTCATTAGGCATCATTTGATCGCACAGGGGTGTCGACACTGTGGGGGGTTCCCGTTCCCCTCAGGCAACACTTGATTCTTACCAATAAATCGGTGATTTATTTCGTAAACAGGAACGAGTGTAAGACGATTTAATTGTCGCATTCCCGGACCAAATTGACACGTCGTCGATCGTAGATTGTGGAAGGTGGGAGAGAGCGATCGGGGAGAGTTCGACAGTCATCTTACACCGACTTCAAAGCATATTAGACTAAAATTTACGGGATTGTCACCAAATATTTCTGAAAATGCATTTCAAACATTAAGCAGTATTTTAATACAGTTTAATCCAGAAGCAACTCAACACAATATTATTTCAGAATTGCAACATTTTAAATCGTCATGGAATATTTTAAAGGAAAATGTCAGTGAAACTTTTATAAAATTAAACGAAAATGAACATTCTACTGACGATCAAGTAGAAAATGACAAAGATTCGATTTCATCCTCCTACTGCATTGCTTGCAAAAATTGTCCTATTTGTTGTTATATTATTCAGATATAACATGTTAAGTGGCACTTATTCTATACTTGGTCAAGCATACAAATATCTGCCATCTATGTCTATAACACAAGTGTCCTGTGAACAAAGCTTTTCTATGTTAAAATTACCGGTAGTTAAAAGCAGGCTAAGATACTTATAAGTATCTCGCAAGAAAATCTAGAAGCCTTCGTGTTAATGTCAGTGGAGAAGGACTTTTTAAACGAAATACATTCTGATGATGTCGTTAATATTATTGCTCAACAAAGCAAACTTTTAAATGAAAAATTAATGTTGTAGAATGCAGACTTGTGCTTATTGTAATTTTTGTCAATGCTGTATTTTGAATATATTTAAATATAAATAGAAAAAAATACATTTTTTTTTTATTTATGGACTGGGCCGGTAATAAATTTTCCACACAAAACTTTTAGGGCCAGTCTGCCCCTGGCATGAACATATCCTTTCATTAAAAATTATAGATTACAGATTACATAACAGTAAAAAAAAAGAACACATTAATTTAAAACATATTTTAGTTACTGTTTTTACAAGTATAACTTATAATATGGAAGTTCTTTAAATCAATTTTAACGTAATGTCTGAATTTGTTGGCTTCTGCAGATTTCAGTTAGATTTTCGGCTGGGATAAAAATCCTCAACACTTATTTCAGAGAATTTCATTTTAAAGTATGACAAGGTAACCAATTGTTCTTCTTATAATGAAAATTCAAGATTTATGGGTTCAGCCAGACCTATAGTGGGACAGCCAGATGGTAAGAGATGACCACTCCCGAAAAATATCTGGGATTTTTCAACCCATCCCGATTCAATTCCGGGTTAGTCAAAATATTGTGATGTGGCTTTTAGGGCCTTGGCTGGTATAAATCTAGGACCGAATGACTCGATTGGGACTTAAATATAGCTGTAGATCATATCGATAGGAACCAAAAAGTCAAAAGGAACCATGCCCGTATGGGCGACCCTTGTACTGTGGTTTTTAGGGCCTCGGCTACACCATTTAACTCTCTGAGCAAACTTAAATATGGTGCTTTTTGGATAAGCCTTTCATTAGTTTTCTTTTATGATTTTTAAATTTGTAACAAACTCTATTAGATAGAGTTCTGGTTGATGCCAATGCACAAAAAGCATAAGTTACAGGGTCAAATCTTTCT